TATAAACAGGCCATAAACAATAAAAAACACAAATCTATTTTTTATATGGCATAAAATTATTATTTAGTAATCAAAGGCGATTCGTCAGTAAATAATTAGATAAAAATATTTAAAAACTTTTAAATGGATGAAAACGTACCTTCCACTCCAATCACACTGGTCACCAATACTTCCCGCCTCCGCAAATTTCGTAAGAACCAAAACAAGAGTCCAAAATATTGTTTGCGTATCCATTTTGAAAAATATCGAAATCTAAATCCTAATTACTTAAATTTCGCCCACGTAATTTTCACATCACTATATTATTATTGTCAAAACATACAAAGTAAAAGTTTTTTTTTATAGTGGCCGCGTCAAAAATTGAGCGAACGTCTGACCAGCCACAATATGTACGGAAAACTAACATTATAGAATGGACGAATCCTATAGTCTAGAGTAAAAAATGAAATAAACTATCTCAGTAACGTAGGAGCGAAAGAGACAGATTGTGTTCAAGAGGTGTAGAAAAAGTATAACACGACATTGCTTCTCTCTCTTATCAATCAATGGCAATCGTTCAAAAGGAACTTTTATATCTTCCCATTAAGGTTCATTTAGCTTTAAATGCTTTCGAATTGTAATTTAAGCTTTACGAAATGGCGGGAAAGATTTGTAAAGCTCTTTCGTTTATAATATGGGCTTACTGTTAACGCGAGATAAAGCCAAAAGCTTTGCATTTTCAATATCTTAAATCGAGTTTAATGAGCTATTAATAAGCTTTCATTATGTGCGCTTACTGGTACTTAGCATAATAAGATGCTTCCAAGTCTTTGGTTTTGCCAGTCAACGAGCGCGTCTTTAAAAACGCATGTAAAATTAAAATTAAAATACAATTATTGTTTCAGAGATAAAATTATTAAGTATATTCCGAAGATAAGGTGATAGCCAAATTCTTATAGTAGGTAATTAAGCACCGACCCAAACCTTTTTTAACCGTGACTTCGCATGTTTTTTTTAACATCGCTAAATAGCTTACGATCTTTTGGTCAAAGCTTACGCTTCCTAATGCTAGTAATTTTGTATAAATGATGGTATTTTTTGCAGTTTTCTTATAATGGCTTGTTTAATGCTGTATCATTATCTTCCATTTATTTTTACAATGGATAGTAATTAATTTAGGTGCTTAAGAATGTTGTAAATACATATTATATTGTTAGTAAATTGCATCAGATAATAATAATCTAATACATATATACAATTCTAGTGTCACAATGTTCGTTGCCATACTCCTCCGAAACGGCTCGACACATTCTTATGATTTTTTTATGCATATTCAGTAAGTCTGAGAAGCGGACAACATCTATTTTTCATCCCCCAAATATTAAGGGTGGTCCCCCCTAAATATGAAGGGTGGTCCCCCCCTAAATACTAAGGGTGGTCCCACCCCAAAGATAATTTTTATTTTTACTCAACTAAAACAATGTTTCATACAAATAACATATGGACATGAAAAAACAACGTTTGCCGGGTCAGCTAGTTATTATATAAAGGTATAGTGTACGGCACAAGAATGAAATTCTTAGACACGGGTCAAATGAAAGATAAGGAGCGAATCAGGGCTTATACAAGCAAAGTCGGCGACAAAGCGGTTATCTATCCGGCGAACAAACATGCTCTATTGATTTAGTTATCTCAGAGCAAACATTGCACGATGAATCCACTTACAAAAGTACTTTATGCTTTAAATTTATTCTATCCTTTTAATTATTACATTTATTCTATAGTTCTTAATATAAATAAATATAATAATAACTGAGTATATTTATTTTGTATCATATACTAGTGGCGCTTCAGCCTTGTAGCCTGCCTACAGCCCTGTATCATAAAAAAAACTGTCTTAAAATAAAAAATTTAATGTTTTTGGGGTGGACACCCCTTATTACTTAAGGGTTTGAAAGATAGATAGTAGCCGATTCTCAGACTTAATAAATAAAATCAATATGTATCAAAAATTTCATAAGAATCGGTCGAGCCATTTCGGAGGAGTATTGTGAACATTGTGACACGAGATTATATATTTGCTCCTTAACGCTAGTTTGCTATTTGTTCAAAGTTCAAACGCGAACATAACTTGGCGTTTCAACTCCTGCTAAAGATTAAATCTATGCATTTCCACCTCGGTTAGCAAAAAACGGCGGTCAGACGACTTGATACTGGTGGAGAACAAGCCGTACTGGAAATTAGGGGAGAGGCAATAAAGAAGTCGAACTCGACGGCAGGCTAAAGCAACGACAACCAATAAACTAATCCCATTTTGGTGTTTAGTTTACCTTTGAATCAGTAAAAGAAAGAATCAGAAAATACCGGACGGAAGTGATTAATAAAATATTTATACTATAACTTAATGAATGAATATTAGACATATTCATATTTTAAATTTTCAATGACAACGAACTTTTTTAGGCGTAAAGTTTTTAAGTCACGTGAATGCGTGATATATTGAAATGTAATAGTACTTACTGTCTGCTCCGTGTTTGGAGGGCATAGCGTGATTGTCTATTGTTTTTAGAATAAGATTCAGACACGAGACTAAGCGCTAAGTCTGACTCCTATACGTCAAAATTTTATTGGACTTTTACATACGCAAGTCACAGTTCGAGCAGTCTTGTTTCTGAATTACCCTTACAGTCTTCCTCCAGAGATTAGCGCATTGAAAAAATACAAACTTCATCTTTTAAGTATTAACGAATCGAGGTCGTGTATGAAGATTATTCGACGAATTGAATAAATTATTTATCAATTAAAAAATTTCGGACACACATATGATGTAACAATAAATATATTAAAATAATTTCACGTAATTTATTTGCTATCGAGCAGTTTAATTAATTTATTATATCATAATATTTAAGTTGAGCAGTGTTGGCCTACTTTAGCGTGCGACTCTCATCCCTGAGGTCGGAGGTTCGATCTCCGGCTGTGCACCTATGGAATTTCTTTCTATGTGCGCAATTAAAATTCGCTCGAACGGTGAAGGAAAGCATTGTGAGGAAATCGACATGTCTTAGACCCAAAAAGTCAACGGCGTGTGTCAGGCACAGGAGGCTGATCACCTACTTGCTTATTAGATTGAAAAATGATCATGAAACAGATTAAGAAATCTGAGGCCCAGACCTAAAAGAGGTTGTAGCGCCACTGATTTTTAATATTTTAGTAAGTTAATATTAAATACTATAGATTTATACCATATTCAATGTTTTTTTAATTTTTATGTATAGGTACGTACTTTTAGTGAAAGGAACTAAATGTTTGTGTACCTATTCTATACTTGTCCTATTAGTTTATTTTATAATCATAATTTCATTCTGTCTTGAACTATATGTCATGTCTTAAATAGAAAGAAATAAAAGAAAATGAAATTCTAATTAAACAAAGTGATCAGTGAAAGTCGCGAAACAAAACACAACTTGTGTGTGTCCTCACGTCATTGTTTGACGTCGTACTATTCATCGGAAATGACAAAGCTTTGTGTATGAAAATAATGTAAACTATTGGAACAATGGTTAGAAGTATAAAAACGGGTAATGCGATAGTTTGGTATTATTCTAATGATGTTACCTTGGGCTGTGGTGATGGTGACAATTAATATTATTTTGGCTTACGAGCCGTCTTCTATATCAAAGTGTCTTTGGCACAATAATTCATGTGAGTATTTATATTTTTATAAAAAGGACAAGATAATAATTCTAATGTACCTAATAATGTAATCATAAGTAATAGCAAGCAAGCATTCCCCTCAAGGGTAATGTTCTAATAGAACAAGAATTTTAGAAATCAGTCAAGTACTTTTTGAATTTGTTTGTTTTAAACATCCAAAACTTTCAGTTTTATAATATTAATACAGATAATAAATAATGTTTACACTCTCAGTAGGCGCGATTCTTAGGTTCAGGGTATAAATACGTTGCCCTACTAGCAACGTGTTTTTACCGTAACTATTATTTCAATATTCTCTATTTCTAACCTTACAAAAACTACAGCACTCATAGTAGTACCTATTACTTATTAATTACATACTAAAAGTAATAAGTTACTGCAGAAGTGCAGATAGAAACGCCATATTATGATTGTGTATTCAGAGCATCGCCCAGTCGAGTGTTTTCCATTTAATTTAAGGATGAAGAGTCGTCAGTCAATATACTATTATTAAAAAACGCATTTGGACTACACTTTTGTTGTTAGATGCTCAAAAGTAGTTTTCTAAGTCTTTTTCATTTAGAGTACTTTCAGTACCTTCCGCGCCGCTACCAATATATTATGTAACGTTTGAACGAATTAACGTTTATTTACGATTTCCTCTTCCTAGGTGTTGATAATTGTCCAGAACATATGATGAAAAGAGTGAGTAACTGCACTGAATCTTTCTGGCCCGCACAAAAAACATGTAAGGATCCCGAAGAAATTCTCGTTGGAACAATGTGCGGATTTTCAAGGTGCGACTGTCCAGAACCAATGGTACTCGATACAGAAACAGGATACTGCTATGACGTAGATAACTGCCCAACAAAACATCGATTAGAAAAATAAATGTGACATTGAATATTTATAAGTTTTTAGCAAGTTTGTGATAATAACATTATTAAGCAATAACTATCTACCAAAAGCTTACTTCCAACTTATTACTTATTCCAACTTTCAACTTTGCGTCATTGGCGCCAATTGGCGTACTTAGGTTCATAGACAAAAGCTTTATTTTAAACTTTTTTTTTTTTTTTTCCTTTATGGCTCTGGCACGGTCTGACATATTTTAAACTTAGCTGTATCTATAGTTACGGGTTGGCACTTGGCAGTTGACAGATGATTATATCCTCTACCAAGTGTCAATGTCTTTCAAGGGTTTTGAGTAGTTATTTAATATCCAAATAGTTTCATAACCTAATAAATAATAATTAATATAAGGCTAACTTTTTGTTAAAACTACCTATATGATCAAAACATTAAATATATCAATAGTTTAAAAAATGTTGCGTGTGTTTTCAAAAAGCATTATTTTACAAGATCAATGTCGCTTATCACAAAAATTAATACGAGAGTTGGATGTTATAAAATGTGTAACAATTCAAAATTGTTTATCAAGACATTTTGCTAGTAAAGTGCAGGAAGATGCAAAACTTGAACGGATTTATTACGGTACCTTGACGCCACAAATTCGAGCTGTAAAGGTTTTTTCATTGTGTTCAAGTATAGCTGGTCTAATTGCTCAGCCCATTATAATCAAGGAGGCTTCAACAATCGGAAGCACTTCGTTATTGGTAGCTTTATGTTCAGTTGTGGGTTTCTTCACATTTGTAACTCCAATATTACTCCACATCATTACAAAGAAGTATGTGACAGAAATCCATTATGACGCCGACAAGTCTTTATACAAAGCTACAACATACAGTTTTTTTCTACTACCAAAAAAGGTAAGTTTCTCTTTCAACATCAAATTGTATTAATAAAAAAGTAGTTTATTTTTTGTTGCTAAATTTTTAATAACTATCTTTATTATTTTTTTGAATAAATCTTGGATTTTTGATTGTAAAAATTACTAGATAATTTTTTTTTCAGGTGGATTTCACACCAGATGATGTAGTAGTACCTGACATCCCTGGAATGTTTACAACAATGTTTGCTAAAGGCAAACCTTTATTTATTGAAGCCCGGCATTTCAATGACCCTCTAGATTATGCTAAGATCATGGGCTATGACAAACCCTTAGACTTTAAACTAGGAGAAATAGATGACAGTGAAACTAAAAAGTAGATCAACTATTAGATTTAGGTGTTAGAATATGTTTTTGTTTTTTATATCTATTAATAATATAAGGTATAATGGAAGAGTATTAATTCAAATTAATCTTTTTTGTTGTTAAACACTTAATATTGTAAGACTAAGAGGTAAATAACTATAATATTCTTTTAAACTATATTATTGTTTGTTTTATCCCTAATATTACTTTGAGATAAAATAAAACAAAATTTTATTTTATTCATATGTATATTATTAGATATCAAACCCTCATATCTAATAGAATTTTCAAATTAAAATGCTTAACTGTTAGGAACCCCAGTTTATAATAAAAAAAAAACTTAAAATGTTTAATTGATTTTATTAATATAATTATTTTGTATACTTAAATTTAATAGGACATTTTATTCTTTTGTTTGCTTTTTAAAGTAGAGTGGAATTTTAAGTCAGTTGTAATAATTTATGTTGTGTTTACGAAAATATAGCAAATAAATTGACTAGATAAACTAAATAATGTCCATTTTACTTAAAAAATTAAATTGGAATGTTCTGCCTATTTTAAAAATGTTATCTATACATCACATTAAATTCTTATATTACATACAACACTTAAAACGTTATGTAACATTTTTAGTCTATTATTTAAAATAAAGCTGTCAGTAATTCCTATGTTCTACATAGGGCCATTAATCAGCTTATTTACATTTAAATTAGATGTTTATAATAACTGTTAAATAGCTAATTTTATAATACTTTCCAAAAATATTATTCTATCCTTCTCTTGTTAGTGCAATTGTTATCATGGAGGATGTTACTATGTTACTTGTAATTAAACAATAGCAATTTTTTTTAGCAAATTGCTCCTAAATAGGTTGCAAATGATTTCAAAGAAGGTGTAATGATATTCCTACAACTACATACATATAATACAATACAAAAATTTAGTGTCATATAAGTATCTTACAAAAATTTACAGTCAATATCACTAAAACAAATTTTACTAAAAAGCTCTTGATTTTTAAGTAGCATTTCTTATAGCATTAAAATCGTTATGGAAAGTCAATAATTCTAAAGGTAACACAGTCAACAATGGTGATTGCTCACCTCACCTCACTTATTCGTTCAAATTCAGTCATAGTGCAACGTGTTTTCCGCCAGAGAGTGAGTGACGGGTGACAATTTTTCATCAACATTGTCTACGGCAAGACGACTTCTGGCTCTGTCAGACCATTCTACTCGACAAAAGGCTGCAGTACCAATGGACGCTAAAACTGCTAGTACACCTAATTGGACGGAAAGCAGGGCCTTCGATGAGTAGAAGAAACAAGCTGCTGCAGCTAATGACTGGAACATAATAATATCGTGTTAAAATATACATATAAATAATTACAATAGTGAAAGTAATGTCTATCAATGACATGAGCACTTGCTTCTACGGTGGAAATATCGTGAGCAAACCGGCATGTCTTAGATCAAAAAATGGTGTATCGGACACAAACGGCTGATCACATATTTGCATTTAATAAAATGAACAAAAAGCGTGTTAAATTTAATAAATTATTACTTTTATTAGCAAACTGTTTGGTCTCTTTATTATTCCTATTTTTATACACGATTTAAGTTAAACTAGAACTTTTAAAGATTTGACTGCTAATATGGTCCAGTGTGGTTTAGTAATCTATAGTTAAATCTCAAATTACATGGAGGTGAATAAATAATTTACCTGAGTGAACTTGAACAGCGCAAACGCTGAGGTACTATTGTCAGAGTATTTCCCGCCCAATATGGAATAAATCTGAGTATTGTAGCAGGCATCCCCGAAACCAAGAAGAAAACTGCACAACATGGCCAAGTATGGCGAAGGTGTTATATAAGAGGTGTCCATTGTATCACCGAATGGAGCTACATTGGGCAAATTGATGAATATGAGGAAGAAACTCGTCATGTGGATGAAATAACCCATGATCACGATTGGGTCCCGGCCCCAACGAGTTGTTTTGTTGCCTAGGATACCGAAGAGGGCGCCACCTGTAATCAAATTATTTTTGAAATAAGAATTAAATAGTTTTTAATGTTTCTTACTATTATGAAATTCGTTTAAAATTGATTAAGTTTTTAGTCCGAGTCTTGGTCGACAAAGTTACATTGCTATCTAATGAACGTCTGTGGCTTAGTTTCATAATATTTTTAGGTAATGGGTGTCAACTATATGGTGTTTGATTCCCAAAAATACTAAAAGAAAGTTAAAATTCGTATATGAAAATGCTAGAAACTAAGATAAAATATCAGCGAAACAAATACAAAAATGTATCTGCATGTATCGTATGATTAGTATTAAGAGTTATTCCATAATAATATATGTAAGGAAAACATAATATATTTTCCTATACAAACTCTGGTCTATATTGTATTTTATATAAACTCTTTTGTAATGTTGTCTTTGCCGTCTGATCGACGATGTTTAATTTATGTCACTTGACATAATATATAGAAACGCAGTTGCGCCTTATTTATTCCCAGTATAAGCGATTGATACTATTATATATAAATAAAAAAAGAATTTAAATTCTAATTCATTCTAAATTTTGTGGAAGTTGAAGTTGAACTAGTTGAAGAATTTACTTCTAGTATTTCCTTCATTTTATTATTCTTAAAAATAGGTAATGTTTTTCTTACCAAGAACTTCTCCCATTCCAATGAATACTCCAGAGAGACCCACGAGTTGTTTAACATTCTCGCCCATAGCCAATGTAAACCCAATACTAGGACTGTACACTCCACTAAAGAATGACAACTCAACACCTGAAAATAAGTGCCATAAAACTTTTTAAATAGTCAAAGACAATAGAATTTTAGCTAAAAATGTGGTATGTTTTTTATCAAGATTGAATAAACGTTAGCAAACAAGCAAAACGCTGTCTAGGCTTTTATTGACCCCTATGTCCGCCCCGTGCTTTGCCCTTGCCGCCTAAAAGGGACACAAATAAAAATAATATTTCATTTTTTTTTTCTGAATACCTAGTACTTTCATAGAATACTAGATATATGTATGTAACTATAACTGATTATATAAAAGAAAACTTTTGGACTGGTAACATAATAATTCACTATCATCCACAGATCAATAAAACTCCAGATATTAAACTTACCGGTATAAATAAAAGCGGCACTCAAGAAAATCATATCCCGCGTGCAAAACAACTTTATGGCACCTTTGAAGGCATCCAAAGGACCTTCCGGCTCGACCACGATTTCGCACTGCAACATAAAACACAATATTAATTGCCATAATAAACCGACGTGAACACCGTGTCACCCTTGACCGGTTTCGGCTTTTATGGCATACGCAACTAAAAACTGAATTTCAATCAAATATTACAATGGGTCAAAGGATATTTCCATACATTTAAATCCGAAGCATGTCCGTATTTATAAAAATGTCATGTCATGGAAATGTTTATTTATTTCAATAGGTGATAAGGCCATCACATTTAATAGCTGTCTGGATAAAATAATTAATTATCTCAGTTGTTACAACTTTATACTTCTCTACAATTTTGTCTATTCTTATTACGGTATAGGGTTTATTAAGCCCTTCTATCGTTTTTATTAGTCATGTCACTTTTCATCAAAGCGTAAATACAATTGGGCCAAGAGAGACAAAAGAGTACTTACGTGAAATGCAATTAGACTTGGTTAGTTTTTATAAGGGTGTGTCTTAAACGTATTAGATTTTGACAAACGGGAGACTGACGCGGTAAGTCTCGACTCCTAATCTTAATAAATTTAGATTAGACATTACACCGAAATGTTAATAAATTAAAATTGAACTTGTGCATACTTACCGAATTAATTTAAAAGGCATAAACATCTATTACAGAATCAAATAAAACCAAAAATATCCTAACAATTTGTTTACTTTACCTATATCATTATTTAAAGTATATAAATAAATTAAGGTAAAAATTAAATAAAGTCAACATAATTATTTTCCTTAAGGATGTTAGACACGATGTTTCCGGAAGTACTCGTTTTCTTGTCTTTTCCTAATGTCATAAAAATATGATTTGTTAATTTGACCTGACGCTTAAGAGAAAGTTTCGAAATATTTTTTTACATTTAACGTTAAACGACTGGCATGAATACACGAAAAGACCGGAAGCGATGGGGGCATACTGTGGGCACCCACTGCCCCATCCAGGGGTCACAGGACAAGTCAAGTATAAATACACGTAAGAAATCTATTCACTTCTGTATAGATAGAAATAATTCTGTCCCGTCGACTTTTTCTTTTATAGATATTGTATGTAATTATTTATTTGTATAACATGTGGTAACAGAAGTCCGAAAACTGGTCTATCAATTATTATTAATAAAACATACTATAAATAAAGGTATGAATTTCAATATGCATTAAGAAATTTTGCATTTAAATTTTTCACCTTGGCATCGTCAATAGCCGGCGCCCGTCGTGTCGGCCTCAAAAGCAGCAGGAAAACAATACCAACGACAGACACTGCTGTTAAAGCACCAAATACCACGTTTCGGGTCTCAACATCTATATGAGTTTTGCCTTGGAACTTTATGAACACGAAGAGGTTGCCAAAGAACAAACTGAAAAAAGAAAAATATATCAAAAGAGGTCCTACTTTATATTACACTAATAATAGTATCATCTACGAATCTAATATTTAGACTACGGTAATTCCAATGAACTGCCACATTTCTCTTTTTACCACATTGTGCTTACGGTTTGATGAAAAGAGACAGATGTGAGATGATACTATAGAATGACTAATCTATAGCGGTGTTAGTAGACTGATTTATTTTCACAGGATCTCTCAAAGTGTGGGTAAATTTACCTTAAATTATTAGTAAAAGAATTAATTTTAAAAAACCCTCGCTCTTTATTTTTCATACAATTATTTACTTAATAGAACACGAAACATATTATATACTTAATAGAACACGAAAGTGTCGAAATATGTGGTCCCTTCTTAGAGCCGGTTTACACGGCGTTGAGTTAAATGTTTCGAGATCGTAGCTCTCTAGTTCCTGTTTCGAACTATGCAAAACCACATCTATTTTTCAAGGTTTATTTACAATGGTCCAGTTTATAAACTACGCAGTATATATGTAGAATAGTATTCGCGAAATTCGCCATTTAAGTTATTTGTACCAGTTTGAGTTGTTTGTTCAAAATAAGTAAGACAAAAAGTAAAAGCTTTCTGGGTCAGAGGTATGAGCTTTTAACTAATCATGGCCCTCTTGAAAATCTCTAAATAAAATGTGTTTAATATTACCTGCATTGTAACATAGCCCAGAAAATCCCGGAATTTCTGGATATGGTGTCAGCATCACTGTTGAGTGTGAGGTAGTTACCCTGGCCGGTCCAAATAGCGGCTGCTCCTGCGCCGATTAAGACACTCGCCACATAGAGTAACCATGTTCGAGGGAACAGGAATGTTATTATGAAGAATCTGAAATAAAGTTAATACAATATTCATTATCACAGAACAATTAAAAATGTATTTTCATGGATTTCATTTGATTCAGGTAAACAATAAAAATTCCTCAACGGCATAATAGATTCATTATTTTTAAATACAGAGTTTATAAATAAGGAAAATAATAGTAGTGTCGAGCAAACACAAACTATGCATGCGGTCCACCAAGATGTTGAACATTTTACAATGTCAAAATTAAAACAATACAAATACGTTTAAATTCTTTATACATGATAGTAGCGGAAAATCAATAAAATATAGAATTATTATTGAGTTACTTCTATCCTTTTTTATACAATCAATTATTAATTTTCAGTGAGACGACAGTTCCACTGCAAGATAAGTCAACGAAAACAAAAACAAAAAAACCATTCAAATTTTATTTTGTATGGTTTTTTTTGTTGTTGTGAAAACGAGTGAACTAAACGCTGTAAACCAGTGTTTCCAAACAAACAAACTTAATTGTGCCATGCCCCACCTTAGCCTTTCAAAAATTCTTATGCTCTCCCCTATGTAACATACATAAGAAACTAAATGATGGGTTTTAGGAAGAAATTACTAGGAAGCTGTTAACTAACACACAGTAAGTTAATTTTCAAAACATAAAATGAAAAACTGAAGTTCAAATGCCAAATAATTTTAATAAATTTTCGAATAGGCCCATTAAATGGCCCCTGTGAGGCGTGGGCACGTTGGGAAACACAACTGTATACAGATAGACCAATAGCAGCACTCTTTAAAAAAACCTATTTCGTTTTATATAAAGTCATGTAAGTTTTTAAACGTCATGTTATTATTTATTTCTCTTTACATTACGAAACTACATCACAAACTAGTTAATTATGTTGCATTTAATATGATAATCAAGTTTAATTACTGTTTAAATAGACTATAATTATAAAATTCAAGTATGTACATTGATACGGGGTGCAGAAACAAAAGTTGTTTTTAATACTTGCAAACTAGTAACTCTGGAAAACGTAGAAGAATGACCATAGGTTAACATAGTAATTATTTTATTATTAACTATACATATTAAATGTTAAAACCAAAGAACTGAGTACATACACTAATAAAACAATGCTCACGCATATCTATAGGGAATAAAGTGGCAACTATATGAGTCATGCCCTCAGATTGCAACCGTTTCTTTAATCATTTCTACTTTATAGACAAGTAGGTGATCAGTCTTCTGTCCGTAGGTGATCACACGTCTGGTTTGCGTACGAGTCTAACACTAGTCACAGCCGGTTTGCGTACGAGTCTAACACTAGTCACAGCCGGGGATCTAACCTACGACCTCAGTGGTGAGAGTCGCACGCTGAAGTCACTAGGACACAGCTTTTCTTTACATTCTATAGGAACAGATTTTTTTTAAATGAAAGGGAATTAATACTTTTGTTGAATTTATAAATATTATCACTGTTAAACACGCCCAGTTTCTATATTCAAAATACTAGTAGTTATTATTACGTGACATTATTAGTTAAAAAGCGAAACTCCCATTTATTGGTCATGGCATATGAGGTCTTTACACTAATGTCACTGGTCCATAATTAATAACTATTAAAGTACAAGCGTATATAACTTATAAAATGTTTTAGTCACTTGCGTAACTCCTATACCTGTTGTACATGACTGCAATGCAGTAGAGTTAAAATTTCAAAGACTTATAAATAATGAGTGAACGAGCTAACAAGTCGGGATAGCGAAATTATTTTTAAATGAATACAAGTTTGGATTTGACGGACCATACATTGATTTTTCGATGGTTAAAATTTTAAAAACAATTTCAATTTCCATAGAGAAGAGCACATTTTCTGTATTATTTGGAATTGACAAGTTCATGCCGGACAAAAAAGTTTTTATGCTACAAAAATACCTCTAAATGAGGACTAAATACGCTCAAAATATTTAGCTTGCTTACACGTAGCTGCACCCATTAAACCAACAAAAAGTATAAATCCTTGATAGAGTGAATGTGAAACTGGAGCGTAACTAAGAAATAATTAATTCGTAAATTAATACATAATTAATTATTGATAAGACATTCTAGACTGAGGGCGACAACTTAACTACTAATTTTAATCCTTTACAATAAACTTATATTTTAAAGCTTGTTAGGAGCCAAAAGCAGCATTGGTCTAATGATTCAACGTGCGACGGGGTCGTAGGTTCGAACCCCGGCTTTCGACCAATGGACTTTCTGACTATGCGAGAATTTAACACACGCTCGAACGGTGAAGAATAACATCGTGAGGAAACCGGCATGCCTTAGATCCAAAACCTCGACGCTGTTTGTCAGGCTCAGAAGGTTGAAAAACCGATTAACAATGTTCTCGGAACAGATACAGAAATCTGAGGCCTAGAACTAAAAAGTTTTAGCGCCATTGGTATATTGGATCCAACGCGTCGCCAGAGAAAAGCAGGTTACTTAGGGATGATGAAGTATGTAGCCTAATGGTGAATATTAGATTTCAGTCAAGTTGTGTTTGAGTTTTTCATTACAGCTACTTTAATTCTATACCATTTACAATAAAATAACACCCTTAGTCTACGTTAGTTACTGTTATTTTTATTGTTTCGTGTCTAGTATGGCCCCCTTTTGGGCAAAGGCCTGAATTTGAACCTGAACTTTCTATTTGGATCTGTTTATTTTTCTTTCATCCATTTCTCCTCAGAAATTTTTATATCAACATCGCTTTTGTGGTCTTCCTATGTTACATATAAAATAACAAATCTTTCTCGAAAAATATTACTCTATTTGAATTGGATTCTTGAAAATTTTCAAAGTTTTTTAAATTTTTTATTTATTATTTAAGAATTTCTTTTTAACTTATAAATATTATATATAAGTTAAAAACAAATATTGTATGTTTCAAGTAGAAAGTAAATATTAGGTTGTTAAAAAGCGAAACCTTACATATGAAATTGGCGTATTTCGTACTGGCCACTTTAATCACGATGTTCTCCTCTTTGGTAAGGAATTCCAAATTCAAATTTGTACAGCTATTTACTCATGTATTTGTGCTTCGATGACCGTAATTCATATGTTTTTTTCTGTTTGCGTCACTCATTTTACAAAATGGAAAACTTAAAGTATCGCATTATTTACGAGTACGAGTTCCGCCGTGGCACTAGTGCTGCGGAAACGACTCAAAGGGTGAATGATGTGTATATCATGGCGGTCATGTTGCAAAAGAAAACACAGTTAGTTTTTAGTTCCAACGTTTTCGTTCTGGAAATTTCAACCTGCAGAACAAGCCCCGTGGACGGCCTGAGACCCAAGTTGATAATGAAGTATTGAAGGCTATTGTGGAAGCGGATCCATTGCAAACCACGTCCGAGTTAGCTGCAGGCTGCGGTGTTAGTGATAAAACTGTTTTAATTCACTTGAAGCAAATTGGGAAGATTAAAAAGCTTGAAAGATTTGAGAAGAGAAGAAGAGAGAATTGACTGAAGCAAACCGGCAAACGCGCGTCGACTGCTGCGTTACATTACTGAACCGGCACAATAATGAAGGTATTTTAAACCGAATCTAAACCTGTGATTTAAACCTGTGATCCAAACCTGTGATTAAAAATGGATTCTTTACGATAATCGGAAGCGCTCAGCGCAATGGTTGGATCCTGGCCAGCCAGCCAAATCCTGCCCCAAGCGAAAATTAACCCCATAAAAGTTACTTGTAAGCGTTTGGTGGACTAGTGCCGGTATTGTTCATTGCAGTTTTCTCAAATCTGGCCAGAATATTACGGCTGATGTCTATTGTCAGCAATTGCAAACCATGATGGAAAAGCTAGCGGCTAAACAACCTAGGCTGGTCAATCGCTCCACGCCACTGCTACTTCACGACAACGCTAGACCACACACTGCACAACAGACGGCTACCAAATTAGAAGAGCTTCAATTGGAATGTCTAAGACATCCTCCGTACTCCCCGGACCTTGCTTCAACAGATTACCATTTTTTCGAAATGTGGACAACTTCTTGCAAGGGAAAAAATTTAACTCTGATGGGGCAGTCCAAATCGCCTTCACAGATTTTAGTGATTCCTGTCCGACTGTTTTTTTCAGTAAAGGGATCAATGAACTACCTATGAGATGGCAAAAGTGCATAGAAAACAATGGTTCATACTTTGATTAATTAAATATATTATATTTAAAAATATTCGACTTTTTGTTCCTCCCATACAAAACGCCAACTTCATATGTAAGGACCTAATATATGCGACTATTATATAAATATGTCTATTATATAACTATCTTATCAATCTTGATTTTTAACAGCAGAAACTCGTATTGACGATTGACAAACACATACGTTTAATCACTTATAAAACCTTATAAAAATTTCGCTGTAATCAAAATTAGTCTAGAAACAAGTTAAACGTTATTCATTTGTTTAAAACAAGAAGACTGTTACGTCGCTTCGCGCGCTTTATGGACTGTATCAACTAGAAAACGTCAGAAAAGTTTAGTCAAAAATTAATAATGTAAAATTGTGAAAGCTGAAACAGTGTTCTATATGTAATGTAAATAACTCATGAATAATACAATATTATAAAAATTCAGATTTACATTTGTAAATCTTTAAGAAGGATTTTGGTTATCTTTTTATTGACGCTTGATGATAATTTCACTAACACGTAACCAGTATGCTTCTTCTGCAACAGAACGTTTTTGTACCTTTCAAATATTATAGAAAATCTAACTTCCAACATTATGTCTAATATGACCCACTAAGATTGGTTACCTCTTCAATATACCTACGTTATCCGTGACCACGTTATCGCTATTTTAAATGTCACTTGACTGAAGTGCCTAATGAATATGGAGTAGTTTCCAGAAACCAAAGGCCAACCATCTTCCAATGCCAAATTACAGGTTGTTGCCGTGAAACGGATATGAAAAGACTAAATGTCTAAAAGCTTTCGAAAAATAACTCAAAGAGTTAGACAATGTAAACGCTGCATTAAATGTATGAAATACCTGAGAATATTTACAGTACAGCCTGTTACAAGTATAAAATCAACTTCAAAGATTACTACCGGCCCGGCCCGGCTTCGCATGGGTGGACATTTAATTTTTAAATATTTTTGTAGATATTGATATTATGTTCTTTAATATTGTGGATTTTTTTTCTATCATCAATCGTTTTCGCAGCGCATGGGATGAAAGATATTTTATAGGCACTTTTCTACAACTAGGGTAACATTGTTATTTAGTAGGGATCCTTATTTTTTTCTTGTAATTAAAATAGCCTATACTCATAGGAATGATGTAGCTTCACATGGTGAAAGAATTTTTAAAATCGGTCCAGTACTTTTTGAGCCAATTCGAATAATTCATACAAATCTTTCCTTTTTATAATATTAGTATAGATGAAATTAAATGCACAAACTGGCTTTAGAGCAATCCTCGACCAAAGCTTAACTACCTAATTAACTTACTAAGCTATTACTGTTTCAATAAATCCATTTAATACTTTCGTTGTTTTAGTCTTTCCTATTAGTATTTTTGTTCAATAGTTTATTTACTGAGGAAGGCTATAGACACTACCGAATTACAGAAACTCGCAGGCCACAGCTAGTGTATCATTATCAAAGCTATACTGTACATAAAAGATGCTGCGACCGAATTAACAAGGACGAAACTTGTAGTTATCAGGTGTCAAAATTACAATATTATTAAAAATGTTGTTTCACAATGTAACATATGTTATGACAATAAAACCTTATTAAGAATTCAGAACAAAATCGATAGATTTATGCAGCGAATCGCCTTGGTTGCTCAACGGTGAACAGCCCACGTGTTTCGCGACGCAATCGCACTATACATCTACACTATATATATAATAAAGAAATAGTAGTACATACATATAAGGAATGAAATTAAATTAATACTGATATACCTGAGAGATAAAATGAAAAGTGTGAACAGTTTCACACTTTTCATTTTATTTTAAATTCTGTAAAATGAAGATTGTTTTCGTAATAATAGGTCAGATATTGCTAATATTTTCTACAACTATTAATATTTTTTGTATAGCGTACACCGTGGCTTGTCGCGTTCACTTGTTTTTGTTAGTTGTTACGAGACACATAACCAGTAGTTACAATGTTGCTAGTGAAAGTCTGCTATTGCAATGTGATAATTTGTACCTGTGCTTAAAAGTGTGTACATTATCTAAGTTCATACATTTTTTGCAATAAAAGAATTATATATAATAACTAATAGTGGTATTAACCAAGGATATTTATCTCTACGATATAATATAACGACATATGTATATGTTATATATTATAACTGTCAGCTTCATGATGTATTCTATCGCTAACCGACAAGGTCATGATAAACTGTTTTATCAAATCCTAACAACGGTTATAATTTTAATTGTATATGGTGATTTAACATTGTAATGAAAGCTTTTATATGAAACTTTACTTAGGTTAAAAATACATGAAGTTTATTTCAAATTACAGCGAAAGCGGCAATGCTAAAAGTTCACAAAATATTACGAATAACGTGAACTACGTTTATACAGACTCTTTCTCAAAAACGTTCGTTACATCTAATATATAAAATTCTCGTGCCACGGTGTTTTTAATTAAACTTCCGAAATGGATCGACCGATTTTCGTGAAATTTTGTGCATATCGATTAGGTCTACGAATCCGACAAAATTTATTTCTCATCTCCCAAACCGTTAAGGGTTTTTATTTTTTTATGATACAGCATACAGCAATACATACAACCCTTAATTTTCACCTCTCTACCCCTATTTTTAATTATAGAAGATAGTTATTTTTATTGAACTAAAAAAAATGTTTCCTAGCAATAATATATGTACATGGCAAAACAACGTTTGCTGGGTTGCGTTGGTTATAATAACCAACGCAAAGGCTTCATCTTCTTCTCCTTACCCTCTATAACTTTCAGTTCAGGAGCTCTTAGATAGGATTCGATAGATAGATTTATATAGCTTTAAAAATCTATATAAATCTATCTATCAAAATATACTAGATATTTGAATTCGCAAACATTCTTCATACTTACAAATAAGTCACAGCTCCTATAAGCATTGCCCCTCTGGGCCCAGTTATTGTGATCACGGAAGGTGCCATCCAGTTACAAATAGCGAGGGTCGCGTAGATGATGGCCAAGGACGTATATCCATCAGCTGTAAACGTGCTGTCATCTTGCCTTATGCTGTCCAGAATCGTTTTCTGTGAATAAATGAATAAATATAGAAATGTCGTTAGCATAGACCATACCTAGGAAAAAACTATTTCATTAAAAGGTATCGCTTTCATAGAATTGGAATTATTCCAACTCGTACGAACTTCAACGCCAATTTTAAATGTATTCACTGCACTTTCTGAGATATTCTTATTAAAATTTAATAACAAACAAACGTTATCGTCTATTGAACTACGATCTTATAATCTACTTGCGGACCCGACAGACGTCCTGTATGATATTTTAAGCGATTAGGATATTAAACAATGTATGCAAGTACCGACTGCTGCATCATTTGTGCATAAAAAAAATTACTCAATTCGGTCCAAGAGGGGTTAAGTGACATACACAGATACAGTAGAATCTAATATATAAAATTCTCGTGTCACAGTGTTTGTAATTAAACTCTTCCGAAACGGCTCGACCGATTTTCATCAAATTTTGTGTGCAAATCGGTTAGGTCTGCGAATCGGACAACATCTATTTCATTCATTTCATCCCCCTAAATGTTAAGGATGGTCCACCCCTAAATTTTATTTTTTAGGCAACATTTTTTCTTTTTCTTTTTTTACACGCTTTATATTAGCTTCACCTGTATGTATGTATGTCTGTGCCATATTTTTCGTCTATCGAGCAACCCACGCTTTTTCACAATAATACCAGTATTTTTTGTTCATCATTTTCAGCCTAAATTAGGAATTATTTTTCACTTTTTAGTTTGATGTGCTTTAAAAGCGTGTTTTTTAATTTTTTTTAAACTATATTTATTATGATACAGCGTACAAAAATACATACAACCCTTAATTTCTCATTTAAAATGTTTCCTAGAAAAAATATACATGGCAAAACAACGTTTGCCGGGTCAGCTAGCTATATATATATATATATATATATAAAGATTGATATTATGTAACATCACCATAAAATTAATCACTATAACTTAGCATAGATTTATTACATAATAGTTTCCCATTATGTATACATTATACTGATGTTTGCATGTATGTTTCTGAATACAGAACTAGGTAACGAATTAAATGATAAGGAGAATCGATTTTAAATCGTATTTTTATTGAAATAAACTAATGTAAAATGGTTCAGTTTACAAAGTGATATTAAAGCGTGAGTTTAGCTCTACACGAGTTTTAATTTATAAAAATAAAAAGAACGGCTTTCAATATATTTTTAGTATTTTATCGAAACACAGTACGAAAAAGATAATATAGAATCTTGACCGTGTGAAATGTCAATGTCATGCTGTATCATAAAGTTTCGGACGTGACATCGATAAACTCCATTTAAAGTTAGAATTCTGTTTTATTTTACATTACAACACAATCTTTAATAAATTATTTAAATGCCATATTAGTAATAATCCAATGACACCAAAACCGTTATGGGTCTTGGCTTCAGATTACTGCATTTGTCTTTATATTGAGTCAATTTTGAGTATACGATACGTATATAGTATATGAACCAGTGTTTCACTGATGCCATGGTTGAAAAGCATACATGCGATAGTTTCCAATGTAAAGAATGTAAGTTCCAAATTACTTTGTATTGTATTGTATTTATTACTTTTCACAAATCTGTTGAAATTACCATAGGATACGAATTCCAATTTAAGAAAAAAATATCGCACACTTTAAAATATTTTTATTGATATACTTAATCATTGTGGGCGGTAATAAATTACATAAATGGATGACCGAAAAGGGCAAAACTTTCATTTCGCATCAAGGCGATGGAATAACCAACCAAATTGCAAAACTTTCCAAAATAACACTTAAATTGTTTTGTATTAAATGTATGCATTATGTGTGGTTGGAGTCGGGGGTCTACACACACATTCTACCTTTTCCAACACTATTTATAATCCATATTAATGAAGCCACCTTCATGGTGATTTTGTATTATTTAATTGAAGTGACGTCTTATTGTATAAACCAAGAAATTGTCTAGGGTAGGGTTCCCTCTCCCGTTTTCGATTCCTATTGAAATAGTAATTATTTAGAATTTTACTTATCCTGAAGGTACACCTAATTTGTTAACTAAATCGGAAAGGATTCACATTTATTTCCATTTTCTTCTCAAATGTGTAGCAATTGTTTTTATTGCCAACTTTCCCAACAGTTTGGCGATGTTTTTAAATATGCATTTGAAGTTATAAAATTATATTTGATCATAACTAAATGTCGAAGTTTACGTTGTGACCTAAAAGCCTGCCCACTAAAATGACTGACTTACGACATTATTACATAATTCGCTAATAAATCCATTATACATTTATTTGCACACATAATACAAAACAGCATAATCTCTATAGATTTACAGCGAATATATATTTTTATCAATTAAAGAGAGGCGGAGAGTCTCTTGCCAGTTCTTCTGGCCGAACATCGATTGGGGAACTGGCAGTAAATATAAAAATTGAGCGATTAAAAAAAAATTAATACTTGCATTAACTTTCATACCAATGAATAAAAAAATATTTGATTCCGTCTAAAACAATGGCAGTGTTCTCGAGGCCTCATGAGTCAAACATCCTCATGAGATATACTAGCAGCCAGCTCAATGAGGCGGTTAAGAAAATATTTTTATTATTTATTATTTAAAAATAAGCAAAGATGGCTTGTGGTATACCAGAAAATACCGAAAAGGAATTTAAAAACAAATATTAGTAAGTTAAACTGGTTCCCGAAACACTACTTGGGAGACCAGTGAATATTTTTATGTGGAGTCTATTATTAAATAGTATTATCATGTAACATTTTCTAACGACATCATAAAGTGCTTCATTAATATATTGTTACAGAAGACGAAGCAATCAATTTTCCTCTGTGGAAATACATTGCAATTTTCTCGCCAACACGGCATTGCATTTACTCAACCGATATAGACATTATTTTCTAGGTAAATAATTTCTATGTGCATTTGTACGTAGTCAATATTTATTTTTTCGTAATCGTACACAAATCGTACGTAAAAATTGGCATCGTTTTTAATTGTGACGAATATAACCTTTGCACAAAAAATATGGTGCAACAGTAATTCTTACGCGACTTTAAAATAAATTAGAAGTTTTTACAATTCACAAGGAAACAAGTGATGATAATTAAACCTTATTTTAAGGTATAACTTTTTACACCAGTGAAGACGCACGAATTAAAATAAGTTAATAAAAAACTTAAAGCTGATTATCCTTAGGATGTGTTTAAGCTAGCCTTTAAATTTTCCCATGCAATTGACCCCACCTCTTAGCCAAAAATTCAGCATATCATTAACATTCATTTGCTCTTAAATTTTTTTGCAATAAGCAATATTTTGCTCACTTCGTTATAAACAGATGTTTTTAGTTTTAATCTATTTTGTTAGTTAATAATATGTAGTTAGAACCAAGCTGGGTTTGCCTCTTAAAAATTGGGGTTGAAATTACTTTTTACTTTTTTTTTCTTAAAAGATGTACGATAATTATAATGCCCTTATTATAAATAAATAAGACTAATCAAATAAATATCGCAAAACAAAATTTAATTGCGAGTCAATTATTTCGCTGATAACAATGTCATCTTCATGACATGTTATTGAAGGCAGGCCCTGGGTGCTATCACGTCAATTAAATCAGCTTGACCTACATCCAGAATAGAGAATCCTTCATATTATCGAGAAACAACACGATAAGATCCAATGATTTCTATCACTTAAATTTTCCGATAACCCAAGGATTACATAAACGACGTCTCAACAAGTACTGAAGACAACAACCCTAGACAAGAAAAGAATTAACGATAAAGCAAATAGAAAACAAGATAATGCGATATCTATATCGCTGTAGTTCATTAAACTTGAAAAAAATCTTTGTATTACAGTATGAATTATTTCAATAATTTTTACACTAAATATATCTTCGAAATATCACACTATTGTATCGACTCCTATTGTTCCTTTAAAAGAAATGCTTTTGTTGTAGGCAACATGGGCGGATCGTGAATTTGTGGGGCTCTGGGCTATTACGGCGAAGTCCCCTGTAATAGACAAAATACACCGCCAGAAAAGAAACGACTGGGAATTCCACGTTCCATTCGTAAGACGCGCATCGCACATGTGTTGATTGATGTCAGTTGGATACCAACGTTATGATTAATTCAAAATATCACCTATTGATTTCAGCGGGGATGAGGCCCTTTATTTCTACGGGCCCTGGTCGGCCGGGGCCGGCAGCCCTAAAAGATCTTAAGTAGATCCGCCACTGGTTGCCTAGTCTAGGAAATACCGTTGAGCTTTAAATTCGAAATTTTAATCTAATGTTTATAACCTATTGCTAGTATGAAAACTAATTTTGTATGTTAATCGTGAGATTAAGAATTCGATACGCTTTCCTATTCCTTTGTTCTCATGTAGAAAGATAAATTATGTAATTATTCAGTAAACGATGTGAATAGTAAGTAATATACAAGCAAAGCATTTAAAACATATATATAGAAATTGTACATGCATTTGTAATAATAAGACAGTAATATTGAATCTATTCCAACAAAGTGCTATCGAAACGTCACTATAAGGCATTATTGATTGTATTTTCCTGATTATAACGGAAGATATTAGAATGCCGGAAACGATCTCCCTTTAATCGTTGCCATGGATTTTATTTGATAGCCATTTTCCTTTTACCACAGTTTAATTATTTAATATATTCTTCGTTTATCTAACCCACAATTCGTATGAGAGATTAAAGCTTCAACGAACGTTTAACGTAGTTTAACTTTTGAAATCAGGGCGTAAGAATTTAATTTTAGTCAAATAATTTGTATACCTAGCTGGTGACCGCGACTTCCTCTGCGCAGGATTAGTATTACGGGTAGCTTATATTAGCGTGGAGTAGAAAAAAACCACTAAAGATATTGACTATTTAAAATAAACATTTTCATCATACATTACATATGTGTATGTAACTAGCGGTTTTGGCAGCGCACGCCAGAATAGCTAATAGATTTTTTCTTGCTTACTTGATGTTTTGAACAATTCACACAAATCACAATATCTTTATAAATTTTAGCCTACGTTTTATTCTGATGTATAAGCTATAGTATTGTAAAGTTTCATTAAAATCCATTCAGTATTTTTTACATGAAAGAGTAACATCCATCGATACTTACAAACTTTCGAGTATATAATATTAGTAGAACAGAACAGATTTGAAACTCTTAGATAAACATATTTGAAAGATCTAGCATGCTAAGTTAAGCCTAAAACTGGCCTGACTAGACCTTCGCCTAAATAGCAAGTAATGTCTCAATCATACCCCTTTATCGTATACAAAACCTTGAAAGTAATCTCAAGAACAAGACGCATATTGCTCCTATGTAAAAGTTCAAAAACAAAATATGTATACTGTTACGGTTACACAAGCGTGTCGATGATCTCAAATAAAAATTACATAATAAGCACGGTATATACCCGTTTTGATCAGACTTTCCTACCTATATGTAATACATAATATTGGTCTACTAATTTACTTAGGATTTCGCGATAACATTGCGCTTTCAATCGTAACACTAATTATTATAATAATTACTCTTGAAATCATTTCTTTAGACGTCTAGTTGAATTGCGTGCGACGTAAAATGCGACTTTCCATATAATCGCGCCTCTTTCCCGTTGAGACTTGGTATAATTATTTGCTTAGTATATTAATATGATTGAAATAACTATTCAATTGGCTAATGATCCTAATAATGCTTTATATTTAGGGGAATATTTATGTGTAGTGTTATTGTATTTCATGGTATATTAGAATATGCATATGATTGACGGTACAGATAAACGAACAGCCAACTGTAGACTTCTTATCTATATATATATAAGAAAAATGGTCTTCGTTTGAGGCTCCTTCACGCCTAAACCACTGATCGTATCGACATGAAATGCCATGCCATTGTTCCTAGATGGTTTATGGCTATTTATTTTTTAAATTCCAACGTTCCTTCATTTTTTTATTGCCGTTTTACTTTTATGAAAATTTATACATACGGACTTCACCGCGGAATCATTCGAGGAGGCTTCCTAGAACTTCAAAACGTCAACATCTGTTAAAAACTCGATTTTCGAAAATTTTCATTTTTCTGAGCGGGAAGTTAAAAAGAAGAATAATAAAAATATGAAAAAAATAATAATGAAACATAAAATTTTATTTATTTCCTATTTTAATTCGCCCAGCAAAGCGGGCGGGAAACGGCTAGTATTTTATATTAGCAAAGGTTATAACTTCTAGTACCTGTGATTTCAATAAATCTTATACAAAACGGTTGCCACTACAGCTTCTGTTCAATGAGGTACAGCTTGTACAATCCTTTGCAACAGAAGACTTTTCAATTGTTTATTTGATATTATACTGTATGGGCGCAATTATATATTTTCTACACGTCCCACAGAGGTTAAATGTGCTTTTAACCTACTAGAAGAAAAAGTTAATAAAGTGGTAAATATACCAACAGATGCGGGCGGCGTCGTTGTGTATGTTACGCACGTCGCGTGGAGTACACACCTCCAAGTGACGGCCTTTGTGGAATGTCGACCTTTATTTTTTTACCTACGTAAACAGTATGAAAGGAGGCTTGTTTCTGGTTTATGGTTCATTATTGTAAATTAGTTAATTATTGTTCCATATTGTTTTGTTATTAGCCAAATATAAGATTTGAGAATTTTAACTTAATCTGTTATTGTAAAATTAAAATATTATATATATAATAATTCATCTCTATCTTTCAATAATCAAATGTGTATATATATATATAGTAATTTTTATACATACATTTTAAGTACATAATCTATGAACATATATATTTAAAAGAAGTAATGGGTAATATATATACATATACTATATGTATCACCTACATATATGTATAACATGGTAAAGATATTAAAACAAATTATATGTAATGAATAGTTTAACAACCTAGTGTTCTATAAATATATTGAGATCAATTAATATACCCTATACTTCATGTATAATATTGCTTACTTACTGAAGGTTAATTGTGAAAGTAATGTCTGTTTAAATAATAGTTTAAAATTTAATGTTCATTTAAAAGTAGAACATGCTTAAGGTATGATATACTAACTCAAATAGAAAATTGTTGAAAATAATTGAAGGGTATATATCTAAGTAGAATAAAACATTTAAATCTGTAAATATTGTAACAGTTTTAAGACCTAAAGTAGGTACCTGTACAATGAACATCATATTTTTACTCACCTCAATGTTTCCCATAGTTTGGAATGCAGTAAAAACAAACATAAATCCGAACCCAAGTAGAATAACATTCATAAATTTTCTCTCCATCGTGAAAGATTTTCTATTGGATTTAATATGTGAAAAATTACTACTGTCTTCTTTCTATTATATATGCGTGAGTATTGAAGGTATTTAGTTTAAAATGAAGAGAAAAAAAAACAATAATAAAAGAACAAAAAGATTACACTACTGCACGAAACGCGTACGCTTTTATAATAAATAGTTTCAGTTGCATTCTCCAAAATACTAAACGAACTCCCTCCTCATATCCACATCCACAACCAAAGTAAATAAAGATCTTTGATTCGCCAAATTAGTACTATACATGCTTTTCATAAAAGCTATATTTGTTTGGATCAATGACAGTAATGTTCTATTGGATGCCCATTAGTATTTTGTAAATATTATCAAACGTCAAAGTCATAGTGACATAGACAGCTGAAATCTACACTCGTTACAAATCTAGCTAGACAAAAAATCACAGATCGCTAATGTAATTGTAAAAAACTAAATAACATGTGCTTTTCTTGGGAGTTTTCGTGGGTGTGAGAAAATGTCTTAAACGGAAAGATATCTAAGTAATAACTGTAACTGTAAGTCCTCGTACAGATTAGAAACTATAAACATCAAAACCAAATAATCTAGTTTTGAAAAATTTTTACTCTGTCAAAACTTTATGTCTGTGACATTTATTTTTCTGAATCATTTATAATTTGTTGAATTCGGCAGTATTTGAACGATTTCTTATAAATTATTGGTCTAAAAAGTGTTGTGATTTGAAATTTATGTGAATATTGAAATGTAGTGCCTTATTGGATAAACTAAAGTATGATAGCTGTGCTAAGAAAGTGAAGATGATCTCATTGGCGTGCTGACATTAGTTACGTTCTTTTCGGCGATATCTTGATTTTATTGTGATCTTAGTCCAATGACCTTCTAGAGTGGGAAGAAAACTATATCAAATTTAAGAAAATGAAGAAACAGTTCTACAGAGTAAAACAGCTAGCCGACCAAACGTTTTCGAGGTATTTATCTTGTTTAATAAGATTTACATTTCTTTACAACTAGTAAATTTGCATACAGTTATGTTGATGATATTTGTATATTAAAAAAGTATTGATGAAACGGTAAATATTGATAACGCAAAATGAGGATACATAAATTTAATATAGCTATCCTTGTTACTCTGTTTTATTGACTGTTCTGTAAAATATATTCAATATGGTAATTATATCTTCAGATCAGGCAAAGGTGAGATCTTGCCAGATGAACTACAAACAGCAGACCGAAAAGTAGAGCACCTTAGAAATGCATTGCAGTTGCTTAGCAAGAGGTTGTCGACGGGAGCTGGAAATACTCAGGGTCAGGACCCTGCAGCTCGAGAAAAAAGGCTGAAAAAACTTCCAGAATACCTATTAGGCTTGTCAATGTGTGAAGCTAGCAACTATGATGATGATGATAGTATCCTTAAATATATTTTGTATGAATGTGGTAAGTGATTTGTAATAAGATCACTAAAGTTAATTATTTCAAATTTGCCTTGAATAGTTTTTTAATTTCACAGGAAAAACTGAGAAATTTCTTGCAAATGAAATTGCTGAGCATGAGTTGAAAGTTGAACAATTAGTATGTGCACCACTTACAACAATTAGTGAAACAGATTTGCCTGCTATCATGAAGGCAAAAAAACAACTAAGCCGACTTATGAATGAGAAAGAATCAGCAGCCAGCAGATATAATGTAAGTTTTATTAATTTTGGCTTGTTATAGAATATATGGTGAATTATTTAATTTAGATATAAAAAATCACTATGTATTCCAACATAAATAAACATCACTAATAGTATATAATTAAATCCATAACTGTGTCATGATAGCAATGTCTGCAATATTCTCCATAGTTATCTAAACAGCAACATCAAAACAACATAATCTTAACCTTTATTATTGTTAATTAAACTGATTATAGAACTTGTTTATTAAAACAGACATTGTAAAGATTAAACTAGAATAACAACTTTTCTACTTGGAGTTGCTAATTAGGAGTGAACAGTTACATATGCCATTTTGTAAAGTTTTGTATAAGGTCACTGTATAAAAAAAAATTGAAGCATCAAACCCTTTTTAACCAGCTACCCTATGCTTTCTTAGATCAGTTGATAACTATTTGAGCCTTAGATTTCATAGCAGATTGTTACTAACTTTAAATACATTATATTCCTTGAGAAATAAATAACTATAGTGCTAAATATGGCTTGTATATATCATATTTTTAAAGATCAGCATGCTGTAGATAGAAAGATAGGTCTCAAGGAACAACTAAACCCACTTATTTTACTAATTATAAATATTTATTTTGGATAACAAATCTGTACATAAAGAACTAGTCACATAATAACACTTAATTAGTTTATTTGCCAAGTCCTTGTCATATTAATTGCCTTTGTTATAATAGTGAAAGAAATAAAAATATTTATTTGATGCTTCATATGTAATCAGTAAAAATATTATATAACACTATTACTGTACTTCTTATCTGATCCAATGACTTGCTGATAGTATATTCTTTATAAATAAAGTTAGCTATAAAAAATCATAAAGTTTATACATTTTTAGCCACTATTTTAGGTATACATTATTAAATCATAAATTCAAACAAAAATTTACCTTAAAATAATGACAGGTAATGGAAACATTGTTTATAATGCTTGTTAAAAAAATAAAAACATATTTAAACAATTCAAACATCAAACCATCGTTTTAGTACAAACAATTACTTGGTACTATCATCTAATGCTACAAACCGGGCTTTCAAATTTTTTTACACTGAGAGTAAGATCCCAAATGGATACTTAACTATTATGACTACAATATGTCAAAATCAATACAAAATATACCTACCATGAACTTTCTTAAAACAATCCAGTTGAGATGCAGTGGAGTTTAGGTACCTAAAGTCAATAGCATTTTTTCGTAACATGACCTCCTCGTAACGTATTTGCATCGCAAGACCGAATGAAAGAACGATCATTTTGTTTGAGGTTTGTAAGTAAGTTTAGAAATTTAACTGTCAAACTTTCTTTGACAGATGTTTCTATAAAAATAAATAAAATTATTTTCAATAATTCATCAATCACAATAAGCTATTATGTCTTAATATATACAGGGTGGTCAATATATACAGGGTGGTCAAAAAGTCCTGGATCAAACGCAAATAGGGGATAGATGAGGTCATCAGCTGCAAAAAATTGTTCTACGGGAGGTCTCTAAGCTCAACCCCTGCAGAGTATTTTGCGTTTTTATAAGAAAATTGACTTTTTTTACTAATTCTTATTAAAATTCGAAAATATCTACATCCTGTATCTTTTTCATAATATCCACTAGATTGGTACTGATGAGTTCTTGCGTTAGACATACTATTTATAGTTGTTTATTGAGCGTATTGAAGATAATATTAAGTTATACACTATACATTTTTTATCAAATCATAACTTTTTGTTTACTTCGGACCCCACTGTGAAAAAAAATTACTCTACCGAAAAGTGACCCTGTATTACAAGTTTTGGCGCAATGAATAGGGATTCTGAAAAGGTTACACATGGCCATTAGTCGTAAATAATAAGCCATACCTATGTTTTTTCAAACAACAAAAAGCAGAGGATAATCATAGAATTCATGAACATAATGAGGAAAAATTTAAATTTTGGGGAATTCTTTGGGGAATAGTTATTTGTTAGACATGCCTAATTAATTTATTGAATATTATTGAACATAGTTTGTGCAATTATTTGTAGGTACACTAAAATCTTCAACGAATCAAAGTCGTTAATCTATAGCAAATTATAAACTCGATATCTACGAAGTCGGTAGAAGGGCATTGCCGTCTTTTTTATCATCTCCGTCGATATTTTAATAATTAATTTATAATCACACTTTCTAAACTCAAAATATCCGAAACATAGACATAGTAGATACATATTGAATTTTATAGGTTCTAACTATTATTTGGTCATTTCGATACAAAAAAGTTGAACAAAAAGTTACTTTTTTAGAATCGCTTATTCGGTAATAGTTGGAAGGCGCAACTGTCAAATTTCGGTTCAGCCGAGCGGTCATGGTACGAATTTTCATACAAATTGAACAAACGAAATCTGATAACCGCTAAGGTCACGTGGGAACATTAACTCTAGTTTTTTCGATGTCATGGTACGAATTAGCGATGCATCTCAGTTGTAGGTTGTCAATAGGCTCGCAATAAGAGTTCACGGTAGGCCCCCAGTTCTGACATACTGGACTTTGAATCTTCCTCAATACTAAGTACATTTCTCCTCGTTGTAAATCATGCTACATGAAACGATTAAAACTACGACTAAAACTACGAATTATATCGACATGTTGGCGAAAAATATATCGAGTGAACATTGCGCGTCAGCTTTCGTTCGATTACTACTACATGTCCCGTAGCGTAGCAGGAAGCTACATAACATATGATAAGTTAAATATATGCTAAATAAGTAATATTTTCTAGCACCTCGAGCGTCAAAAAGAAGAGAATCCAACTAAGTTAAGCGCGGCTAAAGAGGAATACGAAGAAGCGGGTAACAAAGTGGAGGCAGCAAGGGATGCATTAGCTGCTGATATGTTCGCGCTGGTCGCGAAAGAAGCTCAGCTAGCGCACACACTCCTTCAGTATGTGAAGTTACAGAGAGCTTACCATGAATCGGCGCTGCATTCATTGCAGGATACCGTCCCGGAACTTGAAAGGTTTATAAGTAAGTAGGAAATAATATTTGCTTCCCGTTTTAACGTTAGACTTTATCCTCAATCAATAAAATATAGTTGCATGATCCATACTAATGAAATAGACTGCCGTTTCTGTAGGTTCTTACGTTTAATGTTTAACATAGAAGTCTTGAGTCCACAGTGCACAAAAAATTTAATTCTCTAATTGTAGGTAAACGTTTAACTCGACTAAAACTAATGTTAGTGCGAAAAAATAATATTTATATTATTTAATGAAATTTATTGAATACTACTCCAGTCATTTCAATAGTAAAAATATAATTTACGTAATAAAGTTGAGTGCGGGTGCAAGAGTGATTAATACGAACACCTAAATGAATAAGAATGTTCTTGGTACCATTTAATTGAGCAAGTTAATCTTGAATTGAGACAATCAATCATATACACGCACTTTAGGAAGCTTTATTGCTTGTGCCCATTTACGAGAGAATACTGTTATTGCATTCAATTCTCAACCTTAGTTGTAACTGTGAATTTTGGCTCTGGCTTTTTAGCCTATGACTGGATTTCATGTTAGAGGATGTTTTAAATAATAAAAAGAAAATATGTACACTATTTATTATCAACCCACGGTAAACAAAGGATATAAAATAATGTATTGCTAAATTGAATGCTGCTGAAAAGAGTGCCTGCATCTGGCTATACTCTCGGGACATAACTTCGACGATTTATGCCCGCCTTCCACTGCGAGCGAGAAATAGTTGACCGGCGGAATGGAGTTTAAAATGATAATAGTTTTTGCCTTCCATTAAGAAAGAGTTTTTAAAATAATTTATTTCGCCTTCCACTGACAACGAGGTCAACTAGGCGGAGCGGGAAATGAACGACTACTCCGTTCATTTTCTGCCTAGTTTTCGCTCCATCCAGCGACGTTGTGCGTCCTTTTGCGAGCGGGTAGCTGAGCACCAGTATTGGCCAGCCCTTCGTCTATTTCAAATCAAGATTTTGGATCAATAATCACATTCGAGGAAGGCCCACTAAAGGAGATTTATTAGGAATGTACAATGATTTGCAAGACGACTACTTCAAAAATTATTTTAGAATGTATAGAGAACAGTTTCATTATTGCAAGCCATTTCTTATTTTTCTCCATGTCGATGATCTTTGTCATTTGTATTTCACAAACAAGGATATTTTCTCACGGCTTCAATAAAGAGCTCCATCACGTCTCAATAGAGAGGCGTTGCACCGACAACTATACCTCACCGAGATGCCATGGTGACGTGGCCAGCGACGTTACCATGGCTACGTTACGACTCCGTTCAAAACTAGTTTTCTTTACTCGCTTTCTCCGCTCTGCTTTACTCTTTTGCAGTGGAAGTAATTGTATTAAATATAATAAAACTAGTTCAGCGAGTTTCGTACGGAGTCCGTTGGAAACTCGCTCAACTCGCTAACCTCGTGTATGACTCTTTCAACTCGCTCACTCCGCTCCGCTCGTCTACGCTTTGGTGGAAGCACATGTATGAAAATAATCGTTACGAGCGGCGGGGATTAGGTAATCGCCACGCTTATAAAACTAAGAAAGCCTGAGTAAGCAAAATACAGGCATTGGCTCTTACAATGGTAAAATATTATAGTTTTTAGGCCTGTATGCAAAAATTATTGTTTGTGACAATCTTATTATGCCGAATCAATGCAGACATTTTCCCCTCAGCAATTTATATCAGGTCGTCAACGATGTAGGCGTTTATTAGATCATAGGTAGCAGATAAGGAAATATGTAACTCTCAAACATAATAAATACTAGCAATTTTTTTTTGGTTTAGTTAAAAATTTTGACACTTACTAATAATTAAGTGTCGCTTAGTTTTTAAATATGCAATTCTTATGGAATGTTTTTCAGATGACAGTTCTGTGAAGCCAGTATTTGGGTACCCATTGGAAGAGCATTTGCGTGTGACGAGTCGCACTATCGCCTTTCCAATAGAGATTTGTGTTTGCACATTACACGAGCTGGCGCTTAATGAAGAAGGGCTTTTTAGGATTGCTGGTGGTATGTTTTATTTAAAAAAATCTAATATTTACATTAAGTAGGTCCCTCTAACCCGCGAAATGTGTTATCCCAGTATCTATCAAAATGACACAATCTTAAGCAATCTATATGAATACTATAAATATATTTTATGCTAAAATCTTCTAACCTTTGTGAAGTTTCAAATAGAATTAATTCTTTTACAGGTACTTCAAAAGTAAGACGCATGAAGTTATCCTTAGACGCCGGTTTATTTAATGTCCCTCTACCATCAGATTATAAAGATATGCACGTCGTAGCTTCTGTGCTTAAATCTTATCTCAGGGAGTTACCGGAACCCCTATTAACATTTAGGCTCTACGAAAACTTTATTATCGCATCACGACAACCAACGGAACAAGCCCGACTCAATTCTCTTTGGGAAGCCATACACTTACTTCCGGATGCAAACTTCCAAAATCTTCGCTATCTAATTAAATTTTTATCCGCCTTGACACAAAATCAAAGCACAAACAAAATGACTCCCTCAAATTTGGCCATCGTCATAGCTCCCAATCTTCTTTGGGCTGTGGACGAGAGTACCTTCGATATGAACATCACTACGGCTGTCAATTGCGTCGTTGAACTTCTGATCAAGCATGCCGACTGGTTCTTTAAAGACGATATCAACTTTTTCATTTCCTTCACAAAAGAACACCTGCTCCCATATCAATGCTCTGATCAAGACTACGGATTTACGTCAAACTTTGGACAGGGCTACAATCAAACCGCTGCTCTTAATCAGGAACAGTCAAATGGAGATTTCAATAGCATGAGCAAGTCCCTATTCGATTATAATCATCAAGCATCCAACAAATCTACGGTGGACGGTCCCGGCCGACACTCTCGCAGCAACAGTCACGACACTAGCTTAATTTTACTAGAAAACGATATTAAAAAAGCACAATCGAACAGCTCATTGTCTGATCAATCTAGTCCACCGCATGGAAGTCCTAAACCAATAATGAGGCGGAAAAATAAACCTCTCGCCCCTGTGCCTCCTAACTTCACTCCAGACAAGAAAAAAGCTGAAGCACAAACGCAAGTCACAGAAACTAAAGAACTTACCGTAACGAAAGAAAATGAAAAACCTGCTAAACCACCGAGGCCGGTTATATCAGAAACTGGGAAAGTTATCACTGGCGTACAAACTATAAACAGATCGACGTACCGACAAAGTAAGGCTTTGAAAGAGGAAGCGTCACGCAGCGGAAGCAGAGAAAACCTGGCAGATACTCGTAGACAAAGCTTTGAGTTCGAAAAAGAGAAGTTTGATTTCAAAAACGATAAAGACACGCTAGTAGTCAAAAATATGACCGCTCAAACGGGGATAGTAGGGAGAATGAAAATCATCGGCGATATAAGTGGGCCGGCATCCCTGGGAGCAGAGAAAGACAAACCTGTCAGAATACAAATCCCAAAACCCACGGGCCAACCACCACCTCGGCCGGTTGCAGCACCAAGGACTATAGTCCCCGCGCAAGAAACAGAAGACGTCCAACTACGTCATAAGCCAGCGGTGCCAGAGCGACCAGCTACTCTACGCCCGCAAAGCTTTCGTGGCCAAAGGTCGTCTCTCGCAGAGGGAACGGACGTGGCACCCACAGTATTAGAACGTACGCACATCTACACAGTGGACAAACAACATCCGACAGTGATTCAAGTGGGTGGAAATGAAGAGGAGCCACGTGCAACCGTACAAAGGACGCACAGTTCCGGGGGCAAAGATGCCGAATTGGACGAACCAAAATTGACTAATGCCAGTAGGCAGCTCTCGCAGTCGGATGGCAGCATTACAGACGGGCCGAAGTCCCCGAAGGCACAGCCTAACCGCCCCCCTCGGCCCATGGTCCCTGCCCCTCCACCGCCGGTCGTCCCCCCGCAAAACGAGAGCACAGACCTCTAGTCCAGCATTTATATTAACGTAAATACCATTAGTTGTACGACATTGACAATTATTAATCAAGTTTTAGGCCTCGGTTTCATAAGTCATAAGTTAAGTCGAGGTGCTCGTGAGCGATTTTAAAGGCCTTATGTATTCGCCGTTTAATGATAGTTTACATCACCATCTTAAGATGGCAATATTTACGAGACTGATGCCCTCTATTTTTACTGCTTTCGTAAAGATTTAGAAGTACAGCTATACATTTCTTTGCGAATAATTTATTTTTGTATCGGAAGTCGTTTTTATGATGATTGTAGTGTAATAAAATTATATCATCTAATGCTATTGTCAGAGTGACTCACGTTATTATTGAAGTTATTGCAATATAGACGATAACTCGTCCGTTTAGTTAACGTGGGTTGATTCCATAAACATATCACAAAGCGTCAATTGATTTTATGTATTGGTCTAAATAGATATGCTTATGTACTATATAGATTATGTTGCAATTTTTTTGTGATATTAGAGATTGGAGTGAGTGTCCTCACCGCGGGCGCACAAACAATGTTGTATTATTTACGCCATATTTTTATATTGTGACTACAGTGCATTGGTTTCGGCCGCGCTGTTTCGACTCGTAATGGCTATATGTTATGTAGTATTTACGAAGTTCTTTATGTGATATGCATTTTATTAATATATACTGCAAGTATAGCTTCTGTTGTAAGTATAATAAAATCACAAAATTTGATAACACGTTTTATTTATTTAATTTATCCATTTAACAATATAGTGGTTTCGTTTCCCAACTCTAAGTAAAGAGAGCTGATTTGGCAGAATATGAACAGACTCGGTTATAACTTCCTGTATGTTTTTAATCTTCTGGTGATTTATGTAGAAACCTCCCGCTTGAATAATTCTCATGGCATCAGCTGTCAAAATAATAAGTTAACTAATATTATACAGAGCTATGCAATCAGCTATTAACAGGTATTTTAGTTAAGTTAGAGATTTCTATTTAAGTTAAGTTAGAGATCACTACGTTGTGTTTAAAAGCCCTTGTCTACTCATAACCGTCACACAGGTGTTTTATGTAAAACTTATGCATTGAAAAACTTAAGGCAAGCCTATCATCAACTTTCTGTATCAAAGCGAAACCGCTTAATATAATTGTTTAATTATGTTTTGAAATCTAACCTATTTTGGATAATAATGTAGATTCTTATTTAGTGTTATTTAAGTTATGCTTTAGAAATAATACATACCCTCAGTTGCAAAACAGTTGGCTTTCAAACCAAGTTCAAGGACAGTGATCCCAGGAGATAGAAGTAATTGTGTGACAGGAGCCCCTTCAAATACTTGTTCTAATTCTGTAGAGCTCAATGTTATAAGGGATTTAACATTTTTGCTGTGTATAGCTTCTGTTGCTAATCGCGCCTTCTTCAGCCCCTCCTCTGTTATTTTTGTATCAAAGTTTATAAAATTTAATTTACATGTATTATATTATTTTTTAGCAATTTAATTTGGCAGAAAATGTATGTATGTGCATCCTTTGTACGGTTGCATGCGGCTCCTCCACCCACTTGAACCTTACTGTGCCTTTCAAACAGATCTTTGTTTACTACCTCAGACGCCAGACTGGCGAATGTAATACATAAAGTGTTAGTTTTCCTTTGGATTTTTTTGGAAAATTAGGTGTGTTGAATAATTTCTATAGAAATAAATAATATATTATTTTCTAGTTGCCAGCGTTAGCTAGTAAATACTAATAAAAACTAACCTCCATGTACTAAAACCGTCAGCTGATCAGCTAGGCATTGTTGTGGATACCTATCCTCAGGATGATTTTTATGCTTAAACATTATATCCTTAATTTCACCTAAACTGTAGAAAGTAAATAATTTTAATAACTTTTCCACTTCAGAGTCTTTGGTCCTAATAAAGAACTGGTAAAGACTATATGGGCTCGTTTTGTTTGGATCCAACCATATTGCATTACCCGCTGATTTTCCAAATTTATCCCCCTCTTCTGTTGTTACTAGCGGTAATGTTAAACCTAAAAATAAATATTTTACATATTTATATATTATACTCATATTTATTAAATTAATCTAGTTTGATTAATTTTATTTTATTTAAATTAACTTGTAACACCACTATAGATTGAAATAAGTGGGCATAATATGTAGGCAGTGTCTACCCATGTATGTAAGTGTATGGTCTTATGCTAACATAAGGTGTCAACTGTCAACTTACTGATTCACAATTCCAGGTTGGTACTTAAGACCGAGACCTTCCTTAATAAATAACTTTATTTACTTCTGATCACTACAAGCATTATATTGATTTTTTCTTTAATATTTTGTTACTATTGCATAAGTACTCACCATATACACTGTGCTTTGTTATTCTACTGATGAGATCATGGCCAGCACTGATATTACCCATTTGATCACTACCACCAATCTGAAATTAAATTGAATATAATTTTACTAAATCCTAACTTAAAAATTACGAGATACCAATTAAAATATTGTAAGCCCTAAAATTACCTGAAATTTACAATTAAACTCCTTTAATAAATGCAGCCAGTCATATGCTTGAAAAATCTGGTAAGAAAATTCAGTAAAACTCATTCCAACTTCTGAATTTATTCTACTTTGAACACTCTGTTTTAACAGCATTGTGCCCATTCGGAAATTTCTTCCTATTTCACTTACAAATTGTATTGAATTAATCTCTCTGTACCAAGTTTCATTATTGACAATTCTAAAAATGCATATTTATTTTAATTCATAAATCCCTTTAAATAAAAATATTTTTTAAATAACTTCATACATTTAACACACTTTATGGGCTTTAGCTTCCTTTCATCTGACCAAATATATTTTTTGTGATTTTCAAACACCTCATCCAGGTTGTTTTTAAGGCCATTTATATTTTCTTGAATTATGTTGCTCTGTAGTGCAATACGATCTGTATTCTTGCCACTGGGATCTCCAATGTATCCAGTAGCTCCACCTAACTAAAATACAACTGTTTTCTTATTATTGTAGAAACAAACACATCACATTGACTTGCAAACAAACACATACCAAAGCAATTGGATTATGTCCTCCTCGCTGCCAATGTAATAAATTTACTATCACAAGAAGGTTCCCAATATGCAAACTATTAGCAGTAGGATCAAAACCTGCATATACACACTGAGGCGATTTATTCAGTAGATTTACTATTTCTGATCTAAAAGAAACAACCATGACTTGAAACTTGATGTTTTTGATATATTAGTTTAAAAACTAATATATCAAAAACATTATCTGTAACTCACACTGAAGTGTTTGGAAATATATCTTGAAACATTCCACGATCACTTAGCTTTAATATATTTCTAGTTGAGGTGTACCTATACCAACTTTTACAAAAATATGTTTTGCGAACACCAATAATACTTTTCACCAACATTTTTATCTCTTTCTGTTTGACTATAGAAAATTAATATAATATAATTATAGCAAATAAAATTTATGGTTTTTCCTATGCCTACAACATACGTAATCACTATTTTATTTAATTTTTAAATAATAGTATTTTACTATTTTTATTATCTCAATTTTATTCTTATTTCTAACCCCAATTCCCAAACCGATTATCGGTTAGCCACCTATAAAAGGCATCAGTCAAGTGTCAACTGTTGAACTGTCAAGCAATGCCCAGGGTTGCCAACTCCTACAAAATGTTCCGCCTAGGACCAACTTTCGTTCAAAAACCCCTAAAGTTTTTGTTGTACACTTGGTTTGAGAGGTAATTTCAAATATGAATTAAAAATATGTTGAAGTAGTAAAAAATTGCTGTTGTATTTATGTGAGTACATTTTACATATTTATATATGTTAATCAATGACCGAATAATATTAATGATAATAACAATAAGATGAAACAATTCTTATTTTTTATTTCTTAACTTTTCATTCTTCGGGTTCAGTTTTTCTTAACGTTTCTTGGCAGAAAATTTCTTCAAAGCTTTTTGTACTTTTTCTTTTTGAAGAAGTATAACTTCTTCTTTAGGCGCGTTATGAAAAATTTATGAGAGTGAAATTTTACGATGCGCGCGCACCTGAGACACAAAGTTGTCAGTGTGATTATAGCGTGCGCGAGCGAGATGGGAATAAGACAATCTACAAGTAAAAAGAAATAGAATATGCGTGAAGTTAGCAGGTATGCCAAGAATTTTGAATGACCATAATGACATTTACCTTTTAAACAAATAAAGAAGTTTTAATTTATTTTTTCAAAGAAATTTAGCAATGCTTTTTCACAAAGACCTATTGTTACTTAGTTAAAAGGTTATGAAACATACCAAGTTATTTAATTGAATGAATAATATAATAAAATAATAAATTATAATAATAATTGTTATTAATATTAATTAATAATTGAATAATATACTAAATATTAAATATTATTAAATTGTTTACGTTAAATATTAATTATTAATTAATTATATTTAAAAAAAAATAAAGAAAGCCAAAGAAGTATAACTTCTTACGCGCGTACATAAGTACACGCACCCTTTTTTTTACTGAATCATATTTATCGAGTGCTCCGAGTTTAAATCAATCAATTAGTTCATTATCAAGTGATATATTTATTGAAAATATATATGATAATGAAACACATGAGTTATTTGAGCCAGTTTTCTTTATTTTTAATAAGTAAGTAAAATAAATTTGTTGACAGATCCGAATTTTAAAATCAAATTGTATTCATATTTTAAATGTGGAATATGTAGTTTGAAATACTACGACGATATATTTACTAACGATAATTTTAAATTTCGATTAATGCCAACTTAAACAAAAAACACTAGTTAATTTTCTGTCACTGTGTTGGTATTGATTGCGAGCACCACGCGAGAGCACTACTTTTGAGAGTGCTCAAATGTGCGAAACGTTGCTGTAGTTGGAACATTCAACGTTGAGCATTATGCCGCATAATGCGCTCTAGTGCTGTAATTGGAAAACGCACATATCCCATCATATAGAGGGGAAGGCAACCGAAATTTCGTACATTTGCGATAATTTCATATCTACGAACGATGTACGATGGTACATGACTATCGTACGCAGATTTTACGAAATTTCCAGTCTGATAAAAAATTTGATGATTACACAGATAGCCCAATAACAATTACAGTTTTTAGTGTCAGTGCCATCTATTGCTTATTTTTCATGAACATGCTGTCACGCAACTACAGCAGATACATATGTACAAACACAAAACCATCAATGCACAGCCAAAAATTCACATTTGTATGGTGACATTGAAGTCTATAACATTTTAATACCTAACGAATTTTAAGTGATAAAAATAATATGCGATGTTTACGGACAATAGGTATATCACTTAGAGCGAACACCATATTGTTCAACGAGAAAATATTGCGTATTTTTTGTTCCTCTTTGACGGAAGAGATTGAATTATTATTATTTTTTCAATTTGAAAAACACAAGTTTACAAGATTTAAACTATAAATCGTTTGCAACATTTTATTTTCACGTTTCATATGATTTTTAAAGTATTTTTAGCCATTTTCCTGACTGTACGATAATTTATCGTATAGGGATCCACATATACGATAATTTTACGGCCCTGGTACGATAACTGCCTGGCTTCAGGTTGTGAACACTGGGGCGACGCGTCGCCACGGCATGCGTCGCTACGCCAGAAATCGGGTTTACGTGCGGCTATAGATGTTATGTTGACCTTAACGAAATCCTAAATTAATTTTAACACGATATTATTAGACTGTTAGGTGGAACGATGTTCGCCGGGTCCGCTAGTGCCTAATATACTACTAATGGGTATAAAAAGATTTGATGAGCTTTTTGTACTAAAGATGTTATAAATTTTTGTGATTAGGAGAATAATCTATTGATGGCAGGTTTCGAATGTTCGACGCGTAGGTACTTAACCGCTAACACGTACAAGACTCATTTTTAAATACAGAAAGTAAGGTTGATGGTGTTACTTCGACTCTCGGTCGTATAGCCTAAAAAAGTTTCTGGTATAACTTGAGCCTTGAGCGGCATCGCATTGTCCTCAGTCAGCCTTTCGACGAAGTAGTGACAACGATTCATCAGTGGTTTGCGTATTCAGTACCAGATACTGAAATACCTAATTTTAACGGATTTTAAAGAATTTATATTAACATAAGTTTAAGGTATAAATATATCAAAAAAATAATTTTGGAATATTAATTATTAAGAACCAATACATCTTGATACTTGGTCTGCAATCTATTGTGGCAAACAACAAAATATGGAAATAAAGAGTTATGACTATCTGCAAGCAATATATATAAATATAACATTGAATGCTATTAGAAGTGACTATTATGCTAAAATATTCTAAAAGATATTAATCTTGTTAATCCGTTATAATTTATATAATAATATAGAACAAATCTGCAATCAAATAAAATATTTAGCCACGAAAACATTTATTGAAAGAGAATACAATAATAAAACAATATTACATTTTGTGGCTCTAACTAATCAATTCACTTATATTTAAACTAACTATCACTTTATTATGGATAAAAGGTACCTATGCAATAATAAAAGCTTTGGAATAATTGTTAAATAACAAGTTATAAGATTCATTAGACTTACTCAAGTCACCGTAATATAATTTCTTGTCAGTAATCTATAATTTTACATGCACAGAAAACTATGGACTTAATTACAACATAATGACACTAACATAACATTTTATTACCCAATACACTAATTTGTAACAATTATAATATTTTTAATTAATAATTAATCATAGAACATAGCAAATGTGAATTAAATGGTGTCTTAATCTATCAAATACTATAAAAATATACTTATATACTGCACTATAATACATTTCCCACATCAGTTGCTCTTTTAAAGACATTAAAACACCCAGTTAAGATTCAAAGTGTGATGACTAATTCCTAAATCCATCTTCCACACAGTAGAATGCTGTATATATTATGGCCGATGGTAACTAAAGCAAATGTTTTTGTAGGGTGGAACTAAAAATTTAATTAACAATTATTGCTATGATGTCAAATTTATGTTTTGTAAAAGACTGATAATTTTTTCCAATAAAGACTCCTGAGTTAATTTCTAGATAATATTTTTAATAAACATACACCAAGGCTTTTGTCTTAAGCATTTTAATATTAAACAGGATGTTTTCTCCTGTTTGTTATAAAACATATGTTTAATGGTCTTTAGTAGATGTTGATATTTTTAATGGACTGTGAAGAAAAAACAAACTACTACTCCCAGTAACAACCTATGAAAAATCTATTATTTTGATCCGATTTGTGTGAATAAACATTTGACGTGAAATATTCCATTAACATTTTTCCTCACCATATTGTTATATACTTAATCTTCTAATGTAACATTCTTGAATAGATATGACATAGATTCTTTGTTGTGAATGCGCCTTATTGCCTCACTAAGCAGAACAGATATGTCTATAGTTTTAATTTTCTTACATTGCATCTTCTGTAACTCATGTGGAACTGTATTGGTAACAACCACTTCATCTATGGGAGAATCTTCGATTAAGCGAGGTGCATCAGATGATAGCAAGCCGTGGGTTGCCAAGACGTATATTTTGTAAGCACCGCATTCTTTTAAGACCTCTGCGGCTGCGACAAATGATTGCACGTCATCTATCATGTCATCCTGAAAGACAATATACTTCTAAAGTGTTACATTGAAAACATGTAATTATCCTGTTCATACTACGGTTCTGAAATATTATTGCAAATTCTATGAGTTTTGGAGCAAAAGATACAATTGAATTTAAAATGTAACAGCTGTAAGCCCAAGTACCAAGTGTCTGAAATACTCACAACCATGATGGCAATCCTGCCCCCGACATCCCCTACGACATTGATTGGTGGCTTCTCTTTAGCTGGATGTACAGGTACTCCTACTCCTACATCCATGGTACGAGATCTGTGAGATATTATTAAAGTAAACTAGCATATTAAATCAAACATACGAGGGGAGGTCCAAAAGTTCGTGGAATGGAGGGATGGAGTGGGATAGGGCCTCCTTATTCATCTAATTGGGATCATAAGTAGTATATAAATGGAGTTTCACCCTTTGCGTATTCGTTTACGAACACTCCCTCTTAACACCCAATCGAAGAAAACTGAAACTATGGAGAAAATTGAACCCGTGCTGTCATTAAATTCCTTACCAACAAGGAAAGAACGCTCAACCATTTTGAATGAAATGGAAATGTTTACGGGGAACAGTGCCCTATAAATCATGATTTACAAATGCATGGTCTTTTTAAACATGGTCGGGAGTCGATGAAGACCCCCGCTCAGGAAGGCCATTGAGGCCACCAAATCAGACATCGTCGAAAAAGTGGAAAAAATTGTACTGGAGGACACCCGTTTGAAGAAAAAACAGTTATCTGCATTAGTTGAGTTCAGATACCACAATTTTGCGAATCCTACATACCACCTGGTTGACAAAGTCATCAAGATGGGCCAGAATGCTCACGCCGCTTCAAAAACAGCAGCGCGTCAAGTCAAAACATTTTTTGAGTTGTGTAGCACATCCTGATCGATTTTGGAGCGAATTGTTACCGGCGATGAAACATGGTTCATCACTTACCTAGTCCAAACAAAGTCCATCAATGGCATAAAAGGGGACACCACCCCAAAAAATTCAAAGTGTCGGAGTCGGCTGGAAAGTTGATGGCTACTGTTTTTTGGGATTGTGAGGGGATAATACTATTGATTATAAAGAAAAGGGCAGACCATAACCGGAGAATACTACGCAACAATACTAGAAAAATTAAAGGATGCCATCAAAGAAAAACGTCGGGGAAAATTGACAAGGGTGTGTTGCTCTTGCAAGACAACCGCTTCACAAGAGCAAGTTGCAATGGCTGCTCTACACACGCATGGCTTCGAATCACTAGTCCACCCACCCTATAGTCCAGATCTGGCCCCAAGTGATTTTTATTTGTTCCCAAATTTAAAAAAGACTTAAGGGGAAGGAAATTTTCCGACGACAATGAGGTAAAGGAGGCAATTTTGGCTCATTTGAGGGAAAAGATAAAAAATATTTTTACGATGGTTTAGAAAAATTAATTCATAGATCTAATAAATGTATTCAGCTTAAGGGTGATTATATTGAAAAGGAAAAATAAATTTACTGTTTCATTTTTTACTAAAACCCTTTCATTCCACGAACTTTTGGACCTCCCTCGTACATTTCATTACACATTTAATTCTCCTATATATTGAATGTCTTAAAAAATAGCTTGTTTTATTTTACCTTGGTAAGCATGGTGGTGAATATCTTCCATCTACTTCATCACTGTCCGCCTCCTTCTGCTCTCCATGTATGACAGCAATGGCTAGTCGCAATCTTTCAGAGTATGAAGTTGCCTTCTTTGCCGAACCAGGGTTCCGTGCCACAATAACTGAGTTACGATAATCTGGAATCTATGTAGAACTTAAATTAGTAGATTTATTTAGCTAATAAGGTACAGGCTACACAAGGACGAAAAACTATAACCAATGATTATAATGTTTGAATGGAACAATTAAACCAAGACCATTTTCAGGTGAATTGTTTAGGATATTGCCCTTAACGATATATATTTTATAAAAAAGGAACAAACAAGCAAATTAATATTGTAATTCAGCAAGGTAATACACACTCATTAAGAGGTAAAATGTTTCTTGGATACAGAGTAAAAATTAGTTTTAATTATATATTTTTTATTGACATACCAAATGAATTATTTTACCAGGGTTGTTGTATATTAGTTATATTGTTCACTTACACTTTCCTGAATATACTGTAGCAAAAATGGTGATGCACGTAAATTGTCAACTGGGCAATCAAAGAAACCCTGAATTTCCTTTTGGTGTAAGTCCATAGTAATAATATGTGTTAAACCAGATTTACACATCATTTTAGCTAATAGTTTTGTGACAATGCAACCACGTTTCCTCATTTTACATTGCTTGCTGTATGGAAGATATGGAATGACCCCTACAATGGAACGAGCCGATGAAGTCTTACATGCGTAAGCCATTATCAATAGTTCCATAATGTTGTTATTCACATCCCTGAAAATGATATAAGGTATCCAAATAATTAATGATAATGCTCTATATTTAATGAGTGAGTTGCAATAATTTAAAAATTAAAGGACTAGAAAGGAGACATGACTCCATCATGCTTCCAACTGTGCCTTGTGTGATCAGAAGACATGGGGCATGTTAATAAATGAAACCAACAAGGTCATACTTTACTTCAAAGGTACATTTTCCTACAGCATACCAGCCACATACTAATTACACCATTTATAACATGCTTCCAGGCAACTTATAACAGCAATGAAGTATATAAAATAATACATGCATATTGATTTCAATATTGTATGAATGTGAAGTATATAAAAATTTAAGAGTGGATTTAACAAGATATAACTTTTAAATATTTAATGTTATAGTAATAATATTAATTGTATTCAACTGAATCTAATTGATATCCCTTGACACTAGATGTTTGTATGAATGCAAGCGTTTCAATTCAGTAAATGTAATAACGACATATCTGAATACATACTTTGTACCAGTTTGAACAATATATATATTTTTCCCACGAATAGAATCAGCAATTTCTACAATTGTTTCCCTGTTTGTCTTGTGGAATACTGAGCATCCTCCCTTACGTACGCCGAGACGACTGTAAAGATTGATGTATAGTTAAAATACAATTTCAAGGACTATTTAATTAGCAGTATCTATAATAATTTTACTAAGCAATCTGTTCAGCCAGTTCCGGGTGTGAATTTCCGCTTAAAATAACGATGTCAGACGTTGAATGAGTCTCCATATTGCACGACGGAGGTCGACTCGTAAATCCCAACCTGTAAGTTTAAATAGAGAGGACGTATGAATATAATTATAGTGATAAGGTTATGATTTACGGTGTGCATTAGCTTTGAAAATATAAGAAGAAACACTTAAGAAGAGCAAGAAAAACAATAAACCTGGTTTTGTTGAGTAACATAATAACCTGATGACGGTCCTTTGAAAATGAACAGCAAACCAATTAGAATTTCGCACAAGAATTAAATATAAAGTTTGTTTGGTGCTTGCAGGTAATCTTATTGGATGAAATATAAAATCTGAAACTGAAAATACAAAACAACTCTTTTTGTTTTACAATCGCATAATCCTCAGGGAAAATTGAAAACTGTTAAACAATTGTCAATTGCACATTCCGCAAAATAACACAATTATGAAATATGAATTCTCAATCCTAAAATGGGTTGACAATTGATTTAACCATATCATAATATAAATTGACAACTGCAGACGAGACTTTGGCATTTTAAATTTGACACACGCGTTCTTGGGGTCTAGCCAAGATGGCTTAACAGTAGTGTATGTAGAAAGTCGAAAACTAAATTTGTATGAAAATGACAGCTCGTGTCGACAGTCGGTAGCCTAGGCCCTAAAGGCGTGAGTCGGGATACAATAAGCGACGCCATGACAGTGCTACGAAAAGACACACATTAACGCTGACGCTATTCGGTAGCCACGGGCCAATAAATGTTTCGACAGTGTAGAAAACACAGCGTTTCTCCGCCATGTTTTTGCGTAATCTCAAAAACTGCTGTTTGCTGTAATTCAGGACCGCCATCGTCATCTTTATGTATTAAATTAAATCTTTAAAATAACTATTATTATTTACAATCGTTGTGTTGAGGAAACAATCACTATTTTTTTTAATGGCCCAAGATGTATCTTGTCATAGTAAAAGGAGGGCTTTTTCTATGTTATGAATCAAAGGCATGTAGGTGTATAACCTTACAAAGTACCTAAACAATTTTATGAAATCATCACATCATCTAACGTTAGGTTTTATGGATTGAATTTTTTTTTATAAAATAGCACGGAAACAATATAAGTTATATCGCTGCCTATGAACACTTACATTTATTAGTTAATTATGATTTTTCGGTTTTTAACCACATATATAATTATGAACACATGTACATTAATAAGGCATTTGTTGTTTGCATGCAATAAGTTAATATATTTTCTTATTGTTCTAATGAAATCTCTAATGAAATTGTCAAGAAGAAAACTATCAAATGCATAATATATTTTTTTATTAATTCCTTACTTAAATAGGTTAGGTTATGCATTCACATATTACTCATGCCTTTTGGGTCTAGTCTACCAACTGCCGACACGAGCTGTCACTTTCATACAAATTTAGTTTTAGAATTTCTACATACACTTCTGTAAGGCATCTTGTCTAAGCCCCCATGTCTAACAAAGTCAAATCATAAAAATATTTTGATTTCTGGTCTTGCTTTTGCTATGTGTTGTCTTATGTGCTGGTTGCCCTAATTTTGTTTTAGATTTATTCTGTATGAATACAATACTGCTCAAATTTAGATCCTCTATTTTTCTGGCGATTGTCATCTTGTTACTTATCGCCACAAATTCTACTTAAACGGAATAATTGATAACGTTTAAAAGAATTTAGTTTTATGAAAGCATTTCTTTTTTTCTGTGTAAAGTTTTAAATTGGATGCCGAAGGTGTGATACATTACTTAAAACAAGTGTGTCTTAAAGTGCTAACGTATGCCTTATTGAGATTTGTCACGATGTCTTCTTCGTTCACCGATTGCTACGATGGTAGCAAAATATTCTCATTTCTCTCCAATAGGATTGGTCTTCCAATTGACCTAGTAAGTACCAGTTAATTCATATACAATAGTGATATAAATGGAAGTCTTTAAATTTTAGTACTTAATTTTATTAAAGTTTTTAGTTAAGTATGTTTTTATTTTAATTAAATAGATGCTAATATTTTTGTATGAAATATAAATTAAAGCTCTTTTTTTATAATATTATGTAAAAGCCACTACAGCACTATTTAGAAGTTCATTTAATTTTTTTCATTAGGTTAATTTTTTGATCGCACAAATAGCTGCACTTTGCCTGGCCAGACTTTTTCGGAAACCATTAAGAGTTGCTTCTCCAGAATTTCGTCATATGGTATGCCTTGTTATAGGTTTGCTTATGGGATATTTCTGCTTTGGAAAGTAAGTTTGCATAATACAGAAATACTTTGATTTTGCTTTGAATGCATTAATTGCTTGCTTATTCAATAGAAGATATAAATACAATTTAGTAATTCTATGTGACTGTGCTATTTAAAATAAATACTTTTAAAATTGTATAATTTTTAAAGTTTCTTTTGTAACATGAATAACATGCTTAGTCTTTGAATGAAAATCTGATATTTGTATAATTAATATATCTCAGGAAAAACACTGTCACTTTACAATCTATATGTTTTAATCACATCCATCTGGTAAATTTTGATCAAATTTGAAACCTTTGGATGTTTTTGTATATACAAAAACCTTCTGATGGTAGGGGAACCTTATAAACAGATAACTGGAAAAAAATTATATTTTTTTCGATAACGATTATAATATGAAACAGGATTGTTTAATAGATTTCTTTTTTTTTCTGTGAATTACGTTTTGTATTAACATACCTCATTGTTTCAAGTGCTTTGCAATAATCATGTTCTGTTAGATTTGGGTGTATGTCTGTTAAAGTTGTTTTATTCAAATGTGTAGTATGGAAAAAGAATGCTTGGTTGACCCTATAGTTGGTCAACCTTTAATTTATTGTAGAGTATGTGAATGGCAACATTATAATATAACATTACAATAGGTTATTTTCTGCCAATAAAACTAATGTATCCTGAAACCGGTGACCTGGGTCATCCTTGAATTAATTCGCCTGAAAGGGGTATTGGTGATAACATGTTTTTTTTATTACAGACAAGCAATTCACTTATCAGTGCTTCCAATGATAACATATGTTCTTCTGAAAATATTTCCACAACATATAATAGGAAAGTATGTATATTATTATTAATATATTATGTACTATGTACCCGTGATGCATATACAAGTTCTCACTGGGAACCAAAGCACTAAAATATATCAGGCAGGCTTGTTTCATTGATATTTTTTAGTAAGCTGCCTTTTGTGCAAAAGAAGGAAGAAAGAAATTTAAATCTTCGTAGATAACATAGTACTAATCAAGCTATGACTTATTACTCAGTATTTATGCTCATGTTTCTGATTCAACATAGTCTCTATGCATCATTAATTCTGACATGATGAAAAACGATTCTATTCATAGAATTCACGTGATTAATAATGTAAATTTTTTTCAGTATTGTTTTAGCTGTGTCTATAGTTTATCTTTCATGCATACATTTACATCGACAAATTTATCATACTGCGGATTACACTCTTGATATAACAGGTATGTCTTGATTATATTAGTAAATGTTAACATTTTATTAGTTAAATAATAAATTCTATATGGGTTACTTGTACCCGTTACCGCGATTCGTTTGATTGTAATTCGCCACTAAATTGTTATTTAAATAAAATATGTTTCTGTCTAGAAGGCCCATCTAAAGTATCGCAAGGAAATATGTTTGTGCTTTTAGAGTCGCACATTAAAATACTACTATTTAGGTGTAATTATCTATTTTCACATTATTAACATAGGCTTCAAATAATAATAGCAATGAGCGAGCGTCGAGCGACCAAACCCTGAGATCGTACGTTCGAACCTCGGCTGAGTATTTTTTTACTAATGGATTTTTCTATCGGTCATGGAAACATTGTAAGGAAATCGGCTGAGATCGGGATAAGTTCAAATTCGAGAGTTAACATGAACTATGACTCTATGACTTGTATGTCAAAATCAAATAGCTTTTTGACGTACTGTAGTGATACTTTTAACCCACTAAAGCCATTTAAAAAGCTATCTTTTTCAAATATATCATATGTATTTTAAATTACCTACTTGCCCATTATAAAAAAATATCAAGAACCCATGTTAATACGAATGGTTGTAGCGCCGCTTTTTAATAGCGAATAATAAAAAAGTGCATCCATTGGTTATTCATAATTACTTTTCCATATTATTGTTTCTGAAAGAATATTTATAACAAATTACTTACATCGTCGGCCCAAATCGAATCTAAATCTATGTTTCCTTTAGGACCCTTGATGGTAATAACTCAAAGGGTGACGTCACTGGCGTATTCACTGCAAGATAATTTAATAAGGAAAGAAATTAATGCGAACTCTAAAGGAAATCTGAATGATAAGAATAGAATTGACAAGGTACCGTCGCCGTTGGAATACTTTGCGTATACATTGGCGTTTCAGACACTTATGTGTGGACCTGTCGTGTTTTATCCCGATTACATCAGCTTTATTGAGTGTGTTCGAGATGATGGGGTAAGTTTTATTGTTTTATAGTCTTTGATATATCGCTTTTTTTTCAGTTTAGCTTCTTGGGTCTGATTTCTGTCGAAACAATCGGTTAGTGGAATATAAAGATCCGACTTGAATATTATAACGTTTTTCTTTTAAAGAATAAATTTTGTCAATGTTTATTATTATTTAATGATCAAAATTACGTCTCGTAGGAATAACGAATAGAATTAAGAACCCGGCGTTGTTATACGATATTGAGTGTATACCGGTTTCATTGTCGTTATTGCGTTATAATTAAAAGTACCATCGAGAAATTATATGGTTCGTCGACTATAGGGTTTTATAATACCTATAAAATTTATATTGAGTCACGTAGCGCTTGCGGCACGTGAGCCGCGTTTTGTTCAGCAAATACGGGGAATATAAAGGGATACTGTATACTTGTAATGAAATGCATACGAATTCAGTCAGAAATTAAATATTAATGCAATTTGCATAACTTCAAGTGTGTATTTAAAAGATCTATTTAATATATAGCATTTGGAAGAAAAAGAAGATATATTTTGTATTTCAGAAGACATTTTGCTTAAAGATAGGTCTCAAATTGGTTACGTTTAATGTGTACTTTGAAATAATTAATAGACAACTCATTCGGTATCTACAAATAGGTAATATAAGTTACTTATTAAATGACTATTTAAAAAAATAAATATTAATTTCTCTATAGGACTACTAACTCTTGTACGTAGTGTTTATAACCTATACGACGCGATGTATGCAAAGGTTTTTTTATATTTATATAGAGCAAAAGGCGTGATAATAAAAATATTTCGCCTTAAAAAAATGCTATATAATGAATGGGGGAATTTAAGAATCACATTTTTTTTAAGATGGCAAAGGATAAAGTGGGAGAGAGCGAGCCTTCGCCAAGACGCGCAGTGATATACAAAGTAGCTGGATCTGTGGCCGCTGCTCTGCTCTACTTGTCTCTGGCAAAGAAGTACCCAATAAAAGCTTTAGAAGGTAAACTTCAATAAATATACCATGACTCTTAATAGTTAGGTCTCTGAGTTCTCTCTCTCAAAGGGTCTCTCTCTCCATCACAGCGTAAACACAATTTGAATATTTTTCTTTAATAAGGTAGATGGCCTTTATTTAGACAGTTTGTTACCATGCCAAATTAATTATAATAATAATGATTATATTTTTCGATAACTTAAAATTAATGTGTAATTTTAACGTCAAAAACACAAAAAAATAAGGAAATTAATACAGACTTAGCAATTAAGTAAAAGTATCAAATTTTTTTGTTACATTGATTGTTTCAAAAATTAAATATATTTTGAGTTCCTTTTACGAAGCATGTAACTATTAACCCAGATTCGTAAGCGGTCTATTTATAAATACTATTTTAAATAATAACTAGTTCTACCTGTTTGACTTATTTGTAAACAATGTCGAACGATGTTTTAAATGCGAATTAAGGAACTTTTGAATTTATTAAGGATTATTTAAATCCAACGGAAACACGGTATTTTGATTTATCTTCTTCAAGAGACTGAGGAATAGTTTGCGCTTAACTGAGTGGGTGAGAATGAAAGACGAAACAAAGACGTGTTCTGTTTGATTGGGATTGTGCAAGAACGTCTTTTGTCCAACGTGCGACATAGTATGTCATTCCTTTTGTACATTTAAAATCAAACGCAACGTTTCGTCGTTTGTTTTACCCTTCAGGGACGTTTTTTTATTATTCATTAAAAACCAAACATTCCAAAATTAACTAAAATGACGTGACCTTCTGTAAACTATGGTTATATTTTTATATACCCGATGTATTTCCTAGATTAAATTTAAACCGCTTCAACTTAAAGTTAAAAAGTTGCAATTTTTGCCTCTTCATTGGGTTTTTTATACCAACGAATAAAAAAATATAGAATGTATTAAAATATTATAATTCCTACGATTGATGGATTTATATTATGTGTTCTTATACGATATACTTAATAATAAATTCGATTGTCGAAGAGGACTAGAAGTACCCCTCTGCTTTCAGTTCCTCTTACATTTCATAACTATCCTAAACATTCGTTATTTAATACGACTTTTTTCTACACATATTAATTCCCCCTCGAAACTCTTTCTTAAAATGATATTCTTAGTACACTATCAGACACACACGATTCAGTTACATACACACAAATTTGGCCTGAATACGTTTTAATTTAAAAAAAAACTTTTTGTTATTTTTGTTAGCTACAGCTTACTAAACACACAATTTATTTAATAATCTAGAGAGAACTGCTTTTTTTATGAAAAATAGTTACAGTTCTCTTGTTTTAAAGTATAAGAATGTGTCCAGATTTGACTTGAAATTCTATTCCAGGTCTAGTAGACCCCACATCGGAAGTTTCTCGTTCTTGGTCAGCCGTATACCTACTCTGGTATGCGTACCTATCAACTTTAGTCGTAAGATGCAAGTATTACCACGCTTGGCTGCTCTCTGAGGCAATTTGTAATAACTCTGGCATGGGTTTCAACGGATATGACAATGATGGAACGCCGAAATGGGACAAAATGTCTAATATCGATGTTTTTGGATTTGAGGTAAGTTTTTTATATTGTTATAAATAAAATAGTTTTCGAATGATAGGTTTCTGTAACACGTTACGGCTATTGATAACACTATATCGAAATAGCAATACCGAACCAATTCGACTTGATTTTAAGAAAATAGTGTAAATCTTAAAAGGCCGGCAACGCACTTGCAAGCTTTCTCGCAATGTAACGTGTGTATGTGCATAGTGTATATGGCAGGTGGTGTCACTTAATATCAGGCGAGCCCCCATTTGCCCCCTGTTATATAAAACAAATCATAAAACAGCAACGATTCATTACAATTATTATTGATTGTTCTAATTTCTAGTGGTTTTTCATTAGCATTGTTATCAAAGCTATTTATATAGAGTATAATAGTTTTTCTATGTTCGTGAATAATAATGTTGGCTTTGTAAACCAGTTCACTTACGTGTTTCGTCGACTCAGTGACTATAAGTATGACGTAAGGTTATAAGAGACTTACTAAGTATGACTCTCGAATGTCAAAAACGTACTTAATGTAAGCTGCTAGGACGAATATGATAGCGCACAACGAACTTCATAGGAGGCAAATGCCTGAAATCTTTTCACATTGAGATCATCCCATCTCATAAATACTAACTTTAACGAATTAGATTACATTACACAATTAGCGTTTGTGTATTTTGCACAAAGTTATATATTTACAATTTTATGACGTAAAACAAAAATCGGCTAACGAAGGAATGATAACAAATACAGTATTAAATATAGTTAATATCATGTATCATTTATTGCTTGATAGAGCGTGATAGCCTACTTTTTTACTAGTTCAATTACTCGCTATACTGCATAACGTATCTGATGGTATGACTACGTTGGCGTGGAAAGTACTTTTCCTTACCTACAATAAATTAAAAAAGCACAAAAAAAATTACCGTGTATTTTTTTTCAGTTTGCACAAAACATGCGCGTGGCAATAGCCAGTTGGAACAAAAATACGAACGCGTGGTTACGTACAGTTGCGTACGAAAGAGGCGGCGCCGCCTGGCGAACGGCCCGTGTATACTCGCTGTCCGCGGTATGGCACGGCTTTCATCCGGGTTATTATATGACATTTTTCGCAGGGGGACTCTTTACTGAAGCTGCTAAAAAGGTAATCATTCATTCAAATCGATATTTTTACGGTACCTTCCCAATATATCTACAACTGTATGGTTTATGTGCGTAGTAATATTAGTTCTCTTTTAAAGAATAGTGACATTCACAATAGGAATGCAAGAAATAAGGGAAATCTTTTCCAGCCATCTTACAGGTTGCAGAAAATAAATACTTCATTTATGAGCCTAAGTATACGGTGCTATAACATGATTTCTAGTGAAATTTAGAACTGCCTTTAAACAGATTCAAAACGCATATTAAAAAAACATTAATGTGTAAAGGTTAATGACTACCTAGAAGACAAAAACGCTTGAAATAGTTCTAATTATATTGTTATAATTTGTTTTGTTATCTATGAAGTGTTGTGAATATGTGTGTAATGGTGAATGTGGTAAATCACAGAACAGATTTTTATTTTTTTTACTTATGTAACTTTAATGACGTTGTGGTTTATGACATTTTCCTTTGAATAATTGTAATGTAGAGGGAGGGAAAACTTGCTGAGTTTCTTGCCCGTTCTTCTCAGAACAAGGCCTCCTGGTAGTTTTGCGAACGGATGGCGTAGTCTTGCTCTTTCGCGAATTTTGCAAACGTTTTTGACATTCATAAGCATACCCTAAGACGCATCTAAACTGAATAAACGTATTTTGATTTGATTTAAGTAGGTGTCTCAATATTGTAATTAACTAATTCAACTTAATCAGTCGTATACTATTACTCAGGATTTTATTGTATTATAGATTAAAAATACATAAAATTACATAAGTACTACGGACCGTGAGTCACGATAGTGCTTAAACAAAAACGCTTACTTTAATGTGTGATATTTTTCTATCGATTGTCTATTAGCTGGATTTCCGTCAATGGTCAAGATTAATTGAAAGATGTAACAATGTTTCGTTTTGTATTAACATTAGAATTTCGTCGTACTATATGCATAAAAATACATAAAAAGAAAAAAAATTGAATGGAAAAGAACGTGCTTGTTTTAAATATGTACGGTTTCTGGGTCAAAGGCATGCTTCAAATGAGAGGATATGAAATTCTAACTGAAATGGGTTATAAAATGCTGAAGAGTGCCGGCGTCTATACTCTTGGGGTGCAGCTCCCCTCCTCATTTTGGGTAGTAATCGACACGCCCAAAACAAAATGTACACCCTTGGCTCGTTTTATCAAAGTTATGTTCTTGTTAAATCTAACAACGTCAAATTACTGTATTACATTCTTTTGACAACTGAAAGAAGTTAAGGCTTTTAAAACTATACGTAGTGATCTAGAATTTATATTAATATTTCTACTAAATGTCGATATTGTAGCAATGTTTTATTTTCTAGGTCCGAGTTGTTGCCAGACCGCTGTTCCTAAACAGCGCTATTAGCAAGTTATTCTATGACTCGCTGACGTTTCTCACGACACGTGTAGCGATGACATATGCCACCGTTCCATTTGTACTGTTGCATCTGTCACCGAGTCTCGCATTCTATGGGTAAAGTTTGAATTTCTTTATGAAATGTACTCGCATAGATAGACATAAGGTAGATAAACATTTTCAAATAAAGAATAACAAAAGAATGTATATTTCGAAGTATTTTAAAATACTTTAATTAGGAGCCTCATAGCCTAGCGGTCTTATTAAGTAGCAGCTAGGTGAGGGGTACCGGGTTCGATTCCCGGTTGGAGGGCAAGTTTTAATTTAATTTAAATTTGTTCTCGGCCTTTGGGAGGGTTGTGCGGTACCGGGCGAGTGCTTAAACCGTACATGGAGGACACGGTCGAATTTCTAAAAGACAAGCACGAATTATAAAAAATCCTATACTTGACGCTGGCTAATGCACAAATCGTGCCAGAGCCATTAAAAAAAATACTTTAATACTTTACAATAGTTAATAGAAATTGAATTAATAAAGACAGGACATTAATTAATTATTTGAGGCTTATAGTTTCTAAATGTTCAAACCTAGCTTCTTCAAGCTCAGCGCTTCACTAAATTTTTCATTGTCCTCGACATATTTTACAAGCCTCATATTCCTCAAAGTATATTACATATTTTATATATCTTAATCTAAAAGATTTAGTTGACATAGTATTTATATATACTTACTTCAGGTTTTAACAGGTCAGTTGATTATTATGATTGTAAAAAGAAGAACAGTGTTGGCCTAGTGGCTTCAACGTGCGACTCTCATCCCTGAGGTCGTAGGTTCGGTCCCCGGCTGTGCACCAATGGAGTTTCTGTCTGTGTGCGCATATAACATTCGCTTGATCGGTCAGGAACGCCTTAGACCCAAAAATGTCGACGGCTTGTGTCACCTGACCTGCCTTAGATTGACAAAAGATCATGAACAGATATAGAAATCTGAGGCCCAGACCTAAAAAGGTTATAGTGCCACTGGTTTTTTTTACAGTTATTCTTTTATATGAGAGATAAATTGCTTGTTTGAATAATTTTCATGTAATTAAGGGTCGTTTCTTTTTAGGCGTCTATATTATTCGCTACACTTCTTGGCTCTGGGAGCTATGTTGTTGCCAAAATCGAGATATGCCATCGCTTCTCAAACGGAACCGCGTAAGTCGAACAGTAAAAGTATCGAAACCAATGGTGAAGCTAACGGAAAATTAAAAATATCCTAAATACAATATTTAAGTTTTAACGGATCTTGACTTATTTCGTTACAATCGAAATTTAAACTGATAATAAGGAAATAATTAAAATAATCGTTGTATTTTTTATACCTATGTATAGTTAATATAAATTATTACAAAATCTTTATATATTATGTCAATAGTAATGTTGTTGAAATGTAAACCATAAATTAGTTTCTGGAAAAAAAATTAATTTTTTTATTTTTAACAACATATTATTGTAAACACATATTGTGTACACTTATGAAAATACAGGAATTGCGATAACTCGAATGTCAAAAGTACGGCGAAAAAAATCGAGTTAACGAGTTTTCGACTTAACATGATCTTCGAGATACATATGATTTAACAGTTGAAATTTCGACTTCCAGATGCGGGATTTCTAAGTGTATTTTTTATTTGTGGAGTCGAATTTGAATTCAGTATATTCGTTCTTAAGTTTTGTAGTATATATTTTTATGAATGTATTATTTCATTGCTCGTGTACAAGACACACAAACAATATATTAAGCCCCGAACCCGAAAATTCTTTTTGGATTTTATTCCTATTATTTTGGGGAATTCCAAGTAAGACGTCATTATATTTTATTAACTACGACTTACAGTCTCCTTGTTTAAATTCGAGAGTATAAATATGTATTATCCTTACTTCGTATGGAAATACCATTTTGTTCGAAACAAAGTCTAAACAAATAGAGATACCGAGTATTTAGGGGTTCAGCGGAAGGGAATGGCATTTTTTTTCGTCTTACTGAGGATTTCGACTTAACGAGTTTCGAGTTATCGATATTCCACTGTAATACATTATGATCTTCTGTAGACACTTTTAACTTGTATTTTTAGTTGTTATGTACGAAATGGACCAAAATTTATCATTATTTTAGTCAAGTTTATTTTCCAGTGGAAATTGCTTGAACTACATATTTATAATAGCTGGAAAGTTTGTTATTCTGGTTAATATAATTCGAGAAACAACTGGTTTTAATTTATCTTAATTTTTTCTCATTTTGGTTTTATTAAAATGTTTGGTAAAAGGTGTTTACATAAAATTAGGCATAAAGATAGATTTTAAAAATAATCTTTTTATCAGTCTTACTAATGCAATAACTACTTTTGTATTAAAATCCGTGTTGCATATAGTATATATAATCTTACATTGCACAAAAATCTACCTCCAATCATAGTATTGATATATAACAAGATATATTATTTTTATTCAAAATGTTAAATGTATTTATTAATATAACGTATTGCCAAGGTTAGTTGGATGATAACTGTTAATTATTACGGAGATTATTCATGTTGGGAATAAATTATTGTTTTTGCTGGTTTAAATTATATTTAATTTTTCATAATATTAAGTATTTATAGTCACCAGAATTAAACAATGTTATGGCAGGTACGATTTACATATAGTTATTATAAAATTATTTTATATGTATTAGTTTTTAAAATGCAACATATCAATATATTTTGACTAGAAGACTAAATGACTCGAAAGCATTAAATAATTTTTTAAGTGTCAGTAAATTTAGTGTATAATAATGCTGTCAAGTATTTATTTTAGAATTAACGACATCAGTCTATTAAGCGTTTTTACGCTCTGTATATAATAAATCCGAATGGATAATTTGACCAATATTTGAATTTATATTAAACTAGTGGACCCCACAGACGTTGTCCTGCATGATATTTAAAAGGGTTTTTTAAAAAAAAAAATAATTAAGGATATTATTTGGGGGTTTTCTTCCGGGGGGATTTTTTTTAAAAAAAAAATTCCCAATCCCCCCAAAAAAAAAAAAAAAAAAAAAAAAAAAAAAAAACTATTATATGGGGGGGGGAAAAAAAAAAAAAAAAAAAAAAGAAATATATATATTAAAATAAGCTGTTGAAAAATATTTGTTTGTTGCCATAGTCATTGTGTTGCTACCAATTTAGTTCTTACAAAAACATGTTTATGTTTCAACACTGGTTGAAGTTTTAGTATGTATTTAATAGTATTATAATTTAAACACTAAGTTATAAATATAATTTTATTAAAAAGTATTTACAAAGTCCATGAACTATACTTACTACAGTATTAGTAATTACTAATTAAAATATTATACAAAAATTATTATGTCTACAATAATGATAATTTTAATGTTGTTTATCATCTAACACATACTATGCTGGTAAAGCAGACAAAGGAATACCATTTTTCTCAATTTTTGTAATCCTGTACTGTGACAAAATAAAGGAATTAAGTGTTACAGAATATGATGATATCTAATGAAATAAATCCACAATTTTCAGTTAAGCTTTTTTATTTGTGTATTTACTGTAAACACAATATTTAAAAAAATCTCAACAAGTTAAAATTATTCAATGCATTACATTCAGATAGAACAGTGAGTTTATGAATATTACTGGAGTAAAATACTGCCAATTAATTGTCTTACACTTGAAAATGATCTAAACTAATATTGTCTACTTGTATACATGAAAATTAGCTCCAATAGTAGTTACCATACTAATTAGATTAACCAGCAATAAAACCTTATGTTTGAAAGGCAGTCATGGGCCAATTGTAGCTATAATGTTTAGGACTTCTCACAAACATCTATATAGATTATCGCCATTAATTATAAAAAAAACATATAAGAGCAAGTATTTACTAATGGTTGTTACATTTCTAATGTTTTCAATAAATATTTATTTTATTGTTTTGTGTTTTATTACACCTTTTATAAAATATAGTTAAGAGGATTTAAAATCTGTGTTAAAATACATAACATTGTAGTTTACATAACAATAATAATAGAAGTAGTGTTTCATATTATATATATATTACATTAAAGAACAAAATCCAGATTATTTTTTATGTTTTTTAATGAGTACAAATCCTAGTCTTATATATGCCAAAACTCCAGGCACATTATTTGTGTGTTCCAAAATTCTCTCCGCATACTTGTTATTCTTCAGTGTTGGGTTAGTTTCTTGCACTAAAATAGAATTAACATTTAAATTTTTTAGAATTTTTATAAGCATTGGGGGGAGATATTAAGTATATTTGAAATTCTTTTCCATTAAATATATATATACATACTAAGAAAATACTTACATGAATATTTTCCTGTTTGTGTATTTCGTAATAGCCTTATGGAATACTTCTCAGAATCTCTTTTAGATTGAGTGAAAAACTGTATAAATATTACTTGTTGATCTGTCTGTCTTGATTCTATTGTGTAATAAAAATTAAGGAAATTTTTATAACACCTTCGGGCCATCAATAAGGATTCATGAGTTTCCTTGATTTGATTTGTTACAAGTTTATGATCTGTAAATAAATTAACAAATAAAATAAACTTATTCTTATTACACTTACAACTTGAGATACTGTAATATTTGTAGTTACTTCCGTATAATTACTCGCTGCTAAATAGAAATTTATTCTACCTTGTTTAAAACCTTCGTATTCATTTTGCTTTTGAGATAATTTTTCGAGATTTTCTTCGATTTCTTTTCTTAAATTCTTGTTTAACTGATGTAGTATATCTAATTCTTCTTCTAACGTATTTGCGGAATTTTTAAGGTATGCGGGTTTTTGTAAAATACCACGATTATCAAACACATTTAGTATATCTTGAGTATAATTTAAAACACTGGTCTCAAATATTCCATACAATTTTTCTTCTAATTTATCGAAATCGAGGAATTCTTCTGTAGCATGCATTGTTTAGACGACTGCTTATAAACAACGCGAAGGAATAATGATTTTGATTAGGATGAAAAGATTTAATTTTTTGAATAAAATATATTTAAAAAAATTAATTTAACTCACGAAACACCCAAACCTCAATCAATAACACAATTTGAATTAACGGCAATCCATATCCAAACATAAATATCACAGACTATAAAGACTAAACCAAAATCCTTAGAATCTGAAGGCTATCCAAAATCCCAGGGTCGCCCCCAAAAGCTAAGCCTTAGATAACGTGTTTTAGATGCCCCTGCGTGACCAACTCTGATATTATACGTACAATTTTTTTGTTGTTTACTTTCATATTAAATAGTCCCCCCTGTTTTATCAAAAATAATATGTATGGCATGGCTGGTGAAAAAAAACTTTAGTAACTATATTTTTTTGTAACAAAAAGTATTTATAGATTTTGCTTAAAATTATATGGGATTTTAATGACCATGATCACCATATAACAAGAGCCCACGCAAATCGCAATGGCTTATCTATAGGTGCTTTATTTTTAACCTATTGCATAGATTTCATCGCGGGCTTTGAGCGCGGTGACCGAATCAAGAAACTCCGTAACAAAATAAACCTAAAATATTGCGAAAAATAAATAAATAATTATATTGTATAAGTTTATACAAAATGCTTTGCAATAGCTTTACCGTGGCAGTCCCCGAGTGTGCCCGAGTGCCACACGTATTTTTTTATTTTTTTTAAATGGCTTTTATTTGTGCCAACTGGGCACAAGGTACTTCGCCAGTGTCGTGTAGATGGAGAAGGCACGAAGAAGATTGATCGGTGAAAATAATAATTAAGAGTGCTTTATTTATTGGCCTATGTTCACACTCAGTACTGACAGCTGACAAGATTTGCCTGACTTTTGCTTAATAATAAAATGTAAATTTTTATCTGTCATAGAAATTACTAAATAAAACCCCTCGAATTTTGATTTAATTTTCAATTCCAACGTTATTAAACTTGAATTATAATATGTCACAGAATCACTAAAATAATTAATCAAACCGTTAGAAGGACAATGTGTACAAAGATATTTTTTTTTGAATATGTGTTTTTTTTATGTGACTGATCTTTCTCGTGCAAACGAGATTCACTAACGATGGTATCTATTTACATTATTGTGAACTATTAATTTTCAATGATCATATGCACATAATATATGTGCTGATTTGTACACTAATTACAGAACACTGTTTTACAGCTCTTCGTTAAAACTTTTATAGTGCCAATTACCAAGTGGATTGTAATTCATTATGTTGCATAGTGAATCTATCAAAGCAGGTAAAAAGACTGTTGGGATTCAACATAGTATTCAACAACATTCATTTTTTAATTACGCTTAATCAAATGGGCCATTGTCTTAGCTGTTTTTATAACCAGACAAATGCCGATGTTGTAACATCGCCAAATACGAAGGAGAATGGTAAGACTCATCATTACATAGCATTAATTATTACTTCAGATGAATAATAAATTGACAGATGCAACTGTAAATAACACATAAAAATGGCCCGCAGGTATGTCTGTGAATGTATTCTTCAATAATTCTTAATATTTCAGATATAACAGAAAATATTGCAAGTAACGAAGCACCAAATTCAATGACATCTGAATTTCCTCAAGAAGAACCATTGTTACAGAATAATGAAAACCATCTAAATTCATATAAACCAAAATCATTCCCAGGACAAAATACAAACAGAGTATGTTTGGCTTCTGAAAATTCAGCAGATGTAAATGACATACAGAAAACATATAGTAATTCAGAAAAAAGTAAAGCATTTTACCATAACATAATTCCTTCCATTCCACGAACAATGTCATCATTGGGATCAAGTGAGTTTAAGGTGTCCGAGTCTAAGATTAACCAGTTATTTGATCAGTATAAAGATTCTTTAGAAGATACTATTCTGGCTGAAGGGATTGAAAATTTATGCAATGACTTACAATTAGACCCTGACAATTTTAAAATCTTAGTTCTGGCTTGGATGTTGAATGCTAGTCAGATGTGTAGGTTTACAAGAGCTGAATTTATACAAGGTTTAAAGAGTATGAAAACAGACTCTGTTAAAGGTATACAACTAAAATTGAGTGAAATATCAAACAATTTGAAAAGTGACTCTGAACAGTTTAAGGATTTGTATAGATTTACTTTTAAATTTGGTCTCGATGTTAGTACTGGTCAAAGAATTCTTCCTTCTGATATTGCTATTTTGTTATGGCGCTTAGTCTTTACAAACAATGAGCCCCCAATATTGGAGAAATGGTTAAGTTACTTAGAGAAGAATCCTCATATACGAGGTATTCCCAAGGACACTTGGTACATGTTTTTAAATTTCTGTGAGTTTATTGGAGATGATCTTAGCAGCTATGATGACACTGAAGCGTGGCCAAGCTTATTTGACGATTTTGTTGAATTTGAAAATGATCAAATGAATCAGAATGTTTCAAAAACTAATTTAATTATTCAGGACTGAATTCCTATATTTGCCAAATTTTTAGATGTTGTAAGTACTTAAATATAATAAGACTGAAAATAATTACATTGGAAGGTCTTAATATAAAACCACTCTCTATTTACTGACAGCAGAGCCAGTTCAAGAATGTTGTAAATAATAGTATCTACTTGTCAAAAATAATTAAATAGCTTTATTAAGTACCTAATATAACATTCCATTATTGGAATTAGCTGAAATTTGTAAATATTCTGCCAATAACACAAGATTGCTTTAAAGAAACAAAGTTAATTAAAATGTATATATTATGTATTTTTTTTATCGCATCACAGTTAAACATACTTCAAAAATGCCTGACTTGCATAATATATTTTATTTTAAAGGTCTACCTGTCTTTTATTATCAAGCTACTGTTAAATTTTTATATATGAATATACTGTTTGTGCTTTTTGGGAATATATTATTTTATAATGCAATTTTCGTCACTATCAGTATGAAGTAATAGACAGGCTATTTTATTACGAAGTTTAATTTCAACATTGCTTTACAATTCTTTTGACAAGCGCAATCTCTGCCGAGCACTTGTCTAAAATAATACTAGAATTAAATAAATTATGCATTGCTTTTTACTTTAAGAGAAATACAGTGCATTAACTACCAGGTAAATTAAATAAAAAAAACTAAAAATGGAGCAGTTTTAATAAAATTTTATTAAATTTAAACAAAATATTATAAGTATGCAAATGCTCGTGCAGAGTCGTGCGGCGAACGTGGCACCCATTAAGATAAAGGCACTTTTGGCGCCCCATATACTTCTCTATGCAGGTCTCTGTCGCCCGACCTTATCAGGCCCTAGAATGCTTACATTCGCCAGCACGATTATTACCACTAACATACATAAAATACCGATAATAATTATTATACATCGCCCTAAATAAAACTGATTATGTTAAAAAGCTGAACATTAAAAAAAGAAAATATATATTCAACAACTGGAAGGTCAAACCGACACAAAGAATCATCTCCCAAATCATTATATAATAAGTACTCTTGTGTTTGTACCTACATTAATACTTTAGAAAGTAAATTTAATGCGGATAACACCAGAGAGTTAAACCAGATGTAGTGGGTTAAGGATATAACTCTGATAATGAGCTTAGAGCAATCCAAACCAATTAATTTCATGGAAACTATAAAATACTAAAGAAATACATTGCAATCAATAAATTATTCAAATTTTAATAACTATGTATTACCAAAACAAAATATGTATTGCATATTCCTACAAGTAATGTGTATATAGAAAAATATACAAACCATATATTTAATTTTATACATGCAGTGTCGCAAAATGAATTTAAAGGTTACACAAATATGATATCTCTATTTATGCACACGTTAGATATATAATTTAAAAAATTATGTTGGGATACTCAAACTCTGAATTGATAGCGAGAGGTAAGCATAAAATGATCATAACAGATAACACAACAAACACTTCTGATAAAAATTAAAATGTCCTAAAATTATATATATTTTCAGGAAAATGAAATCTGACAAAGCAAAAGCAAACAATGTTAAAGAATGTGTCAAACTGCTTTATTACACTAGTAAGCCGTTGTTCATCCGCAGTACCACATCTGGAGTAATTCTGCATGCTCTTATTATTTCATGTAGCCAAGAATAAAATTAAACTATCATAATTTTAAGAGAACGACATTACAATAATATACACATCCTTACTTTACAAACCCACATCGGCTTTCATATCGGACTTTGACGTATAAAAATATCAACTTCTGCTTTATACTCTGCGGGTACACATGAAATAAGAGCACTTAGAACGCTATCACGTTAAACTGTAGAAAACGGAACACCACATATATGGTATAAATTTAACAATTAGTATTTATTTAGTTGGTGTCATTAAAGCGCACTAATTAGCAGGTTCTTTGAATAAATGTCAGTAAAATGGTTCCATACAAACTATGCTAATGAAGAATTCCACTCTTTGTTTATTCTTCTCAGAGATTTCACATGAATTTCAATTAAGAAATAGCTAATGGTGGCAAACCAACCATTATGGAACAAAGCGTAAAAACATTTATCCATCAAACACTGTTATTGATTTACTTGAGGTATAGCAACCTTTAACTTCTGTTCACAACATTTTTATGAATCCAATTTTCGATGTTTCAGGTATAAATATAAATGTCAAATATCAGCTTATCCAATATTTTAAATAATCTACCAAACATTCAACACTGTAATATAAACATTAATCATTAATATATATAAATATCCATGGCCCATATAGGAACAGAATTTAATGTTGCTCAAGTAATAATTTACACCAACCATCCTTAAACTTTTAGGGGTTATTTATAAAACGAATAGTTGATGGGTTACATTTGCTTGTGATCTGGAAGATCTGGAAGTTATTTATTATTACGAAATTTTGGTGTTGACGTTGTACGGCAGTGGATATGAATGATTTGTGTGAAACTAGCTTTTCTATGAATCCGAAATCTGTTATGCTCTCACATGGATCCCAAAGTTGAGGATTACATATTATATAGTTGCATTCTCTGATATATAAGATATTGAAAGCCTAACCTAGCTAAATTACAAATTGTAGTGCCAAATTTATTCAACCACTTTGAGAACTTTGCCGATTGCAATTGTTTTATCTGAAAAAAAAACAAACAAAATATTATTAGTTAAAGCTTAGTTATTAAAAAAATAGGTCTTGTATATAGCAAATCAGACAAGCAGACATACATTGTAGATTAGAGGAGCTTACTCATAGATAAATATTTACTAAACAAGTGCTTTTTAAAAATCTCTAGAGTGGTTCTTCAATATGGTTGAATCTCCTGTTGTACTGACTAGACCAACCTCACTATTTACAAGTCAAGGGTAGATGTAGATTTTTACCCAAAAGAAATAACACATTCAATAATAAAAAATACATACTTTCATCTCTTAATGTGAATCTGCCCATCTGCGCAAATTTCTTGAAAGGCTCAAGGCATATGATCCCGGCACACTCTATCCTCATGATGGCCACTTGGTCCTGCTTTACAAAGCGCGGCCGCGTCTTTGACTTATCACCGGTTTTCTTATCAACTAGACATATCAGTGCCTGGAATTCACATAAGTTATATCTGTTTTATTATATTTTTATAAATTGCATTTTATAGAATTCTAACGGTGAAAGCATATTTGAAATCAGTCAACTAGTTTTTTTTCATTACAATCTACAAAAAAAACAAATGTTTCCACACCTTATAATATTAGTATTGATAAAGTCTATTTTGTACTTTATGTTATAGGACATATACCATATGAATATACCAAATAAATAATATAACTATACATTTACACCGGTGTTTGTTGTTTTTACAATGGTTATATAACCATATATTATATACATATGTATGTATGTAAAAAATACTAATAATTTATACATTGAGATAATTTGAGATGTCTTTAAGATAATCAAAACAAGTGACCAAATAATTATGTTGATTATAATTGTCTTGTTTGGGTTGGTTCTTTACATATATAATTATTAAATTAGTCCTCTAAAATACTACAATGCTTATTAATAAATAGCTATTTAAATTATACCTTTACAGTGACTTCTTCGGCAGCACAATGTATGTGCATAACGGCTGAGTATCCTGCACAAATAATGGACTTGTGTTCTAGAATTACTACTTGAGCATCAAATACCTGTAAAGAAGGTTATGTTAAGTTTTTGGTTTGTTCTTTGATTCTTGTTTTACTAATATTAACTTTTAAAATAAAATAACTATTGATCTGCATGGATTGATCCTTTCTTCCTTCTAACCTCTAAACTGGGATCTATGCAATACTTTTACAATCAACGTTGTGTGACTAAAAGCGCTAGTTAATTTCATTGTAATAGAAGCTAGACATTTACTTTGGTCCACACCAGTCACGCCTGGCATATGTTGTAAAACACTACGCCAATAAGGAAATAAAATATAAATAAAATATTCTATAAAATATATTTTTTAATGACTGGGACAAATAGTAGCTATTTGCTAATTGAAATATCAAATATACTTACTCTTCCAGTAGTAATAGGATCAATAGTATCACAAAGTACAAAACCAGGTGACACATCTTCTTCTTCAATTCCTTTAAGCTTAACTTTTACATTTTCACCAGGACCGATTGATGTCACTTCAATATCATCAGACCATAGTTGATCTACAGTCACGTTAACCTACAAAAATTTATTTATATAAGATACCCAATAAAGACTTATTTTACTACTTGTAATGACCAATTTGTGTATATAGTAAATGTAGGGAACCATCATAACATTTAGTTATGATGGTTCCCTACATTTTTTGGCAGAAATTACTTATATTAAGGCACAGGTATGATAACAATACTAATGGTGGTATGCATTCATATTTTATCAACAGCCTTTGATCACGTCACTGAAGGGTTTATATTTGCGTTTTTTTTGTTAATATACTCTTGTAAGTGGACAAATTATTAAAAATAAGGCACAACAATTATTATGGATTTTTTTATTATCAATGAATGTACTAATACTTGCCTACCAAATCCATCTGCTTTTAGAAACTACATAACATGAGTTTAAAAGATTTGGTTAACATTTTTATGAGTACAACAAAAAAAAAAAAAAAAAAAAAAAAAAATATATATATAGGGAAAGTACTTTAAAAATAAACATACCCTGTTAGGCATTAAAAATAATAAGCTTCCCTTACGGGTAGTGCCAGCCTCAACTTTGCCCATGAGCACTGTTCCCATATCCTTATATTTATCAACCACTGGCATTATAAATGGGCCATCCATCTTTCTGTTGAGGGAAGGCAACTCATCGATGAGTTGAATGAAGGACGGACCACGGTACCATGGACATACTTCCTCTGATACCTGAAAAAGTTTATATCGACTAATAAAGACACATATTTTGTAATTATATGTATAAAATATTTCTATAATTATGATCTAAAAGTTTTGTGTTGGCCGGCCTTGTTTTTGGGCTAAAAAACTTTTTAAATGCATATGCTGTTTTGTGAATTACTTTACATTACTAATTTAGTAATTAAAGAATAGTTATTACTGATACTATGAGAAAAATTATATTTTTAAATTTATTAAAGACATTATATTGGATTTGTCAAAAATAGAAAAGCACATAAGTATAGGAGACAGGAAATTAGAAACATCAAATGTAAAAATGTGACTATATATATCTTACTCTTTCCAATAATCCTTGCCCAGTCTGCCCAGAAACTGGCAGGAAGGATAAGTCTTTAGCTGGATTAAATCCTAGTTTTTTCAGATATGGCATAATTTTGTCTCGGCATTCATTGTATCTGGAAAGAAATAATACTTAGTGAAATATTTGAAAATTAATGCAAAATTATTCTGTTATAAGTAAAGTTAGGTCTAAATTGATTATTACATATCATAACTAGGATTGACGATGATCCATAAATGTTCTCGAGAACTTTGAATTTATTTAACTAATGTTTTAAATTTCTTTGAGTTTCAGATCTTTTACCAGGATAAAGGTTGTAAAATTACATGTATTTATAAGGAAAAACAATAATTGATTTATATTTTATTAACCAAATTAAAGGATCTTCCAGGTTTTGTATACCCATGAATGAATATTACCTTTTTTCTTCCCAGTTGACTGTGGGATCATCCATTTTATTAACAAGTGCTACTAAATGCTTCACGCCAGCCGTTTTCGCCAACATGGCATGCTCTCTCGTCTGCCCCCCTCGGTCAAATCCCGTTTCGAATTCACCTTTTCTCGCCGAAATTACCTTAGTATCAAATTTCATTCAATGTCTTGTGTTTGTAATTATAATTCTATTTATAGAAATAAGAAATACATACAACAAAATATACTCATACATATTAATGACTATGTTAGGCTAACATTCTATATGTTGTCCGAGCAGCATATGTACAATACAACAAACCAACAATGAGTTGGTGCAAACACACCATGAACCCCACCTGTGTGCTTATGAATTTTTCACCCATGTACGCAATCATTTTAACAAAATATAACCAGGAAACTGGCATGTCTTAAAGGGTTTTAAATATATAACCCTTAATATTTGTAATTATCCATTTATACTTTGATAATTATCATATACAGACAAAACTGTTTAACGACGACATCGTTTAGAACAACAAACCGGTTGGTTATATTGACAAAATCAAAGGTCCCAATTTAATTCTATTGTATTAGGTACTTAATAACAACAGCTGTTACGACTATCGTGTTTTTCGACCAAATATGAGTAGTCCCTTCGATGTCGTAACAAATTTTCACTGTATAATTTTTCAGCAATTTCAAACTCATTTACAACTTGTCAACTTTTAACTCCTCTACATTCAAAAGCCGATAACTCACTTAAAATGAATCCCAACAAACAACATTGAACACTGCATTTAGTAAATATATGGGAATTTCTTAAAGCTACTAATTAGCATAAATTTAAATATGGCCACATATTTGAATTTATCCTACTTATTTGCAAAGTTAGGTCCAGATATTAGTTGATTGATCATCCTTTGTTCACATAAATTATGATGGAATCTTATAATTTTACCTATAAAAATAGTGCATTTGTTGTCTATCAAGAACAAAAATAGTTAGAATAGTATATATAGAGGTAGCATTGACAAAATCAAGGAAAACCTGAAGAACATAAGATTATAATGACTTGAATCAAGTACTTTTCAATTTCTATAATTGTTCAGTACATATTGTCTAATAATATTCACTATTAGATTATGTATATAAAAATATTAATAATGAAAAATTTATTGTTACCATGATATTGAATATGTGAAGATTTATATAGATAAGATAATACTCACAAGTACAGCAAGGTCGGCCTGAGCAGCGCCACCAATCATGTTCGGAACGAAACTTTTGTGTCCTGGCGCATCCAGGATAGTGAAATGCTTTCTGTCAGTCTCAAAGTACGCCCGTCCCACTTCCACCGTTTTTCCCTTGTCACGTTCTAGTATAAACAATTTTATTGTTTACATCAAGGAAAATACACTTTTATTACAATAATCACCAGTTGACTGAGTCAGACCATACCACTTGGCCCTAATATCAGCTCAGATTAATTGATAATTAGAAGTAAATATACCTATTGCAATTATTTTTTTAAATAATATTATTAACCAGTGAGTTTATAAACTTATAAATCAGGAGAATAAACATTATATACCTTCTTGGTTAGTATCAAGTGCCCATGACAAGTACCATGATTCTCTAGATTTCTCTCGAGCCTCACGCTCATATTTCTCTAATGTTCTCTTGTCCACCATTCCAGTCAATGACATGATTTGCCCACCAATTGTAGATTTACCAGCATCTAATTGACAAATATTAAATGAATACGGCTTTGTTAATAAATATTATGATAATTTTACATATTCTCATTTGCATGTTATTGTAAAATACTACAAACTAATTGACATAAGATACAGCAAATAGGTTTATTTGTAAAATTAAAAAAACTTAAATGGGAAACCAGGGCCTAAACTAAGTTGGAGAACATTATCATTGGATTATCAAATCAAACCTACCTTAAACCATGTGTACAACTATTTAAAATAAGAAATCTTAAAAGTTAACTAAAATGGATTAAGATTATAAATAAAAATTAACTAACATCCAGCACTCACCTACATGTCCAATAAATACAACATTTACATGTTCCTTTTTGCTTCGCGTGTCCTCCACCCGTGGAGGTTTTTTCTTAGGAACTTTCTTCGCCAATTCACCATCCTCCTAGAAACAGGTACCAATATAGTAAATTTTTTTTTATTAAAAAAAGCAATATTTTGATTCTTGATTATCTTTATAGTCATTATGCACTTGACTGAACATAACAAAAGCCTATTCGCGGCTAAAAGACGCGATAGTAGTCACTTTTCCCAACTCAAACTAAACAGCAAGGACACCGACGTTTTAGGAAGTGATAAATAAAATTTATATACACACATGTGTTAACAATAAAGTATAATATGAATGTAAATTATTATCTTTATGTTTTATATGAAAATTTTAACTATTTACCATAATTGGGTAAACAAGAGACAAAAAATGTGTTGCAGGCTAATACATACTGCAATATAGGTATATGTTTTTGTTGTTAATATGGTTGCTTATGTTGTGTGTGTTAATAGGAATTTCAAGTAAAATCATGGCAAGCAACTACTGTTATAATGTATAATAAGTTCTATGTGTAGCGGTTTTAATATATGGTGTTAATGATAAGTAAATAATCTTTTAAGAATTGAGTTTGGAGCTTTGGATGCAACTTAATATTTAAAAAAAAATAAGTCAAATATTTGTCAGTGTTCTACATTGCTTAAGTATTTTTTGTACACTGTAGCAAAGAAATTACGTAACAAATTATTAACTGTCTTGAATTGATTATAAAGGTAAGATTTTTCAACATGAAACACATAAACAAAGTGGCTCAAATAAAATCTAGTTTATACTAACAATATACTATTACATATGCACAAATAGCAACAATGCTCAAACTCTAGGGGATTCTTTTTAATTGACTAAACTAAGAATTTATTTCTTTATAAACGAAATAAACCCATGCTGATTACAGGAATTGTCACCTGTGGTTCGATTTCCTCTTCATCTGCTTCATTGATTTCTTCTGTGAGCAGGGCATTGTCGGCTTCATTTTCCCAGCTGTCTGCAGTTGGCGAGCTGTCATCTGGTGGAACCTCAGGGACAGGAGCTACTGCTGTGGCTGGCGGCACAGGAGGAGGCTCTTCAACACGTGGAGATGCTGAGGCTGCGACATTGTCACCATTATCACCTTCACCACACCCTGAAAATAAAATTAATTTAAAAATTAATATTAGGTAAAAGTTTATAAGCCATAAATCCATATAGTGTCTCCCATTAAATAAATTTACATAAAACAACTTAGGAAATATATTTCAAATTATGTTCACGACTTAGGAGTTTCCACTACATAGTTTCAAACCTGCAATACAAAGTCAAAAGTTAAATTACCTTACACATTAAAGTAAGGCACAAATTTATTAAACCACAATTTTTAAAATTTCAACTTCACATGTAATTAATGGATTTACAATAAATTGTAATATACATTTCGTTTTATACAATATGAGGGAATAGTGAACATACAATATGGGTCATGTTTAAAAAACTATTTAAAAAACATGCATAAAGTTAGCAGCTACAAGCTCTAGGAAATCTAGATAAAAGGTATTATGACTATACTTGCAAGACCTGTACAACACTAACACTACAAGCTTCAATGAACACACATTTTATATTAATAAAAATCACAGGGGCTAATCATTAGTCATTATTTGTTGTTGTATTTTTATTTGCATTAACATAACCTACTTTAACTGCAGCTGTGAGACTAAAAGATTTTTTAAAACAATTATTTAGTTCTACAATGAACTGTGATTAAAATAACTTTCAATTACAAACGGGGTACAATATATGCAAGGTAAAAGTATGATAAATGTTCAATATACTAAGCAACAATGTGTAGTCTAGATTTAACTTCACCATGAATTTTAGTCTCCATCATCTCAATGTAAAGACTTCACTTATTTTCGTAATCAATAAGAGAAAGTTTAAGAATGTAATAGTAGTCACGCCGCGTGTCTCGACATAACCCGTTAGAACTGGATTCGGCAAAAAAATTGTCATCACACGCAAGTTAAAACGTTCAAACGTGATCTTTTTTAATATTTTAACCTTTAAGGCCAATACACAACAGAAAGGAAAAAGATATAAATTCAATGCAAATAAAATCCAGGTATTACAAATAATGACATGACATACCATTCATGACCGGACTTCCTTCAGAGCTCGTAGGACTACTTTCAGATTTTTGTGACTTTGTTGGTGATTCATCCTGAGAGGCGTTAGTACAAAAAGAAGGCACGAATTCCACGGCATTTACGTTCAACGTGGAAAATGTTTTTGGAGACAATTCATTAGAATCATTTGCACCTTTTTCACCCACAACTTCAGCTTGACTTTCCCATGAGTCCGGAGCACCGTTATTGGACATTTTGAAAAGCAATGCAGTCTAATATTTTGTGTCTTCTGCTTTACTACCTATTTTAATAATAATTCGCGTTCTTTTGTCGATAGATCCGCGTGTGTCTTTATCTCACACACCGGAAGTACATGGCAATTTGCCAAATAAGTTATGTTAAGAGCAGTATTTTTTGCAATCCTTTTTTTGTAGAAAATAATTATAAAAAAATTTAATATCTTTATTTTTGGGCCTAATTAATACATTTTAATTTTTTTAACCATTTGTTTAATGCGAAAAAATTATAAGTTGCTTTAGCTTAAAATGACTACATCCGGTATATTGCCATGTACAACTCAGAGCTTTTGTCTAAATCATTGTTTGAAGCTAATATAACTATTCTAATTTTACAATTCAATTATATTTTACCTAAATAACTGACTGTTTAAATGAATATGTTTATTTGAGTAAAAACAATTGAATATCAACTCTTTTAAATATAACTTTGGACTTGCAACATAAGCAAATAAATGTCAAAGTATATGCCAATTGCCAACCACCTTGAGCTGTCTGATGGTAAAACGTCAATCGTCATCTAATCGCATTTTTTTTTAATTCGCAACATGGCCGCTTGGCGTTCATTAATAATTGACAAACCTTTTAATGTAATTTTAAAATATCAATGAAAATGGAAGATATTAATTTACTGCTATAAGTGCATTGTATTCTTATTAGTTACTTATGTAATATACATTTAAATAGTATTGCAACAAATATTTTTCATAATATATAGGTGGAGATAAAACCGGTGTTAAACAGTTATTTTATTTGTGTGGTTATATTTTTTATGAGTGTGAGTACTAAAGTAAGAATTCTGTGTATGAAAATCTTAAAGGCGACAGTGTCATGTTAGATAAAGTAACCTTATACTATTGTTATAAACAGATATGTCTGTGCATTATAAATTTAAAAGTGCGTTGGATTACGATACAGTAACCTTTGATGGCCTACATATATCGGTAGGGGACTTAAAAGCTGCTATTTCGCAGCAAAAGCGTATAGGAAAAACTTCTGATTTTGACCTTCAGATAACGAATGCTCAGACCAAAGAAGGTGAGATCCATAATTGATTTATTTCATGATATATATTTAAGGTTAACATAATATATTATATGTTTGTTTTTTTTAGTGTATGTGGATGATGGTACATTAATTCCCAAAAATACATCTTTACTGGTAGCCAGAGTTCCTTTAGCTCAACAGCCAAAGAAACAGTGGGACAATAATAACAGTCAAGGAGCACCTGTTAAAGATGTCTCTGTTAATAAAGGGGTGGCAGATCTGTCTCGCATGGAGGGCAGTGAGCAGGACAAGATTAATGCTATGATTAGCCAATCAACTTTTGATTACGACCCTAGCAAGTGAGTAGTCTGTTACTTTAAAAATTAATACAAGGTTCATATATTTATGATCCACTACCAGACTCTCTAAACAAGCTATCAAGCTTGTTAAGTTTAGTTAACTAGCTTATTTAAAGCGCTCAGTAATTTCAGGTAAATTCTCATCAACAGTATTATTGTTTAACAGCTGATCACTACCTACCCTTGAAATTTATAATAATAATTAAATAGGTTTAAAATTATTTGTGCCTTGATCCATTGTAGTAGTTGCTGGACTCTACCTCACAAGTATGCTTTATTTTCCTGTTTTGTTTTATTAGTAAAATTCTTCAGCAAAACATTTGCATTAATTAATACAGGTTATTAAAATTGGATATTTGAATTTATATTCAATGTATTGGCAAAAATCCTTTGAAGTTTAAGCTATAAATTAATAGAGATGAAATTTAAATATAATACTTTCGATTTATAATGAAACAATTATTTATTTTAGTTACCAAAAGATACGAGGTCAAAATCAAAGAGGTGCAGTTCCGAGTAACTATATATGTTTTAAATGTCAGAATAGAGGCCATTGGATTAAAGATTGTCCAGTAGCTAATTCTGTAAGTATTGCCTTTACTATTAATGTTTTTATTAGTTAGTTTTTGATTATTAGTTTTTTTTTCATTATATTTTAATAATAGTGCCTACTGCAGTTAATAAATTTGTTGTCAGAGTGACCCAATAGAAATAAGAAGAAGTTCAGGGATACCTCGCAGTTTTATGGTTCCTGTTGATGGTCCAAAAGCTCCTGGAGCCATGATGACTCCAAGTGGAACGTTTGCTGTTCCTGCTGTAGACCGGTGAGTTAAAAAAGTATTTATCTTGTTTTCTTCCGGTTCTAAACAGTAAAGTTACTGAAATAACAATGATAAATAATTTGCATATAAGTTTTAGTTTTGTACTTCAATAATAAGAATGCATATTTGTCTGAACAGAATTAAAGTATTAGAAAGTAAAACATGCATCTTTTTAAACAAGACACTGGGGAGTTTATTTTGTTCAAAAGTTTGGGCAGAAAAATAACTTGGTATAAATTATTGACGGGTATTTTCAGTGAGGCCTACTTAGCATCAGAAAGTGCCGTGGGGCCTGAAACATTGCCCAACACCCCAGCTGCCCCTGAGCCAACTATTCCCGATGAGTTGATATGCAGCTTGTGCAGGGACCTTCTTACTGATGCAGTCATGATACCATGCTGTGGAAACTCATTTTGTGATGAATGTAAGTATAACTTTGAAGTTATGATTTGAAAACAGTTTTTGTCTATGCAATAGAAACAGTCTAGTCTTTATATATTTTTATTTATACATTTAGTTTTACAAAATTTCAAATATACATTTTATAAATATTTAAGTTGGTAAGTTAAATAGGCAGACCTTTTAATTTTTGTCTATAATGAGCAGTAATGACATAATGGTTAAGTTTTTGACTCAATGTCTGAGGTTGTTTTATTGATACAATTAATATTGGTATGGTTCAGCTAAATATTGGGAGAAAACCAATCAGTCAGTTTGAATCTGTATCTCAAGTTACAACCTTGTCTTAAGTGCTGTCAAATATGTCAAACTTGAAACTAGATTTAAGTTTGATTACATTCTACAATACGGGCGTTTGATTCAGAAAACTTTGACTTGTGCAGAAGGGCCTCATCATAATCCTACATCCTACCTACTTATGTATAAAACAATATCCTCAAACAAATAGATGCTATCTAAGACCCATACAGGGTTGTAGCGTAACAGAATAATTATTATGAAATAATTATTTTGTCCTATTTATCTCTTATAATATTTTTATTCTTTGTTATGTTAATTAATTGCTTCAAGGTATACGTGGAGCTTTGTTGGAGTCTGAAGACCATGAATGTCCAGATTGTCGTGAAAAGGAGATAGCACCTACTACTTTAATTCCCAATAGGTAAGTTTAGTATATAATATTCTCTGTAATAGTGTTTTATAACATTTAAAGTATTAAACAATCACACCGAGAAGAAGATAATTCTATAAAAATTTATGTACAATTGCATTTGTTGGCAAACTTTTTAACTTCTTACTGAGATGGCATTTGTCATAATTTTATAATGTCGGAATCATAAAACAATAGTAATTGCAACATTTTATCTAATCTCTTTCTTTTTATCACAGCGTAAACACAATTTGACGGAAAGAGACGGAAGTCCATTTAGTTTTGTTAACAATTTGTCTTTACAGAAGTAATTTTTTAAATGTTTTCCTACTTATGCAAATTTTGTCACGTCAGCCGATAACTATTTTAATTTGCCCATTCAAAACATTTATCCTGAAACAGATACAGAAACGTGAGGTTACCTCCAGGTTGTAAAACAACTGGTTTTGTTTTTTAACTAATACAGATAATGCAATAACATTTAAAGTTAACTGGCCATTTTATTAAAAAAAAAAAATATTTTGTATTTATTGTTAAAAATCATACATTTCTATATTTACAGGTTTTTGAGGAACTCTGTATCGTCGTTCCGTAATCAGACAGGGTACAGTCGGCGAGCACCGCATCGCCCGTCAGCGGCTCAGCCAGCGCAGCAGAAAGGTAAAACTATTTGTAATTATTATATCTTAATAAATATAATATGAAATAATGAAAGTGTTTCAGAATGATTTTTTTTTTGAGTTATATTATTTTGAAATTAAAAGAAAGTTATATAGATTTATTTGCAAAGACAATTTAGATGGTCTGTTCCCCATTTGTGGTTCCCCTTAAAAATCCACACAAAATGGTGATAAATGTTACTTGAGTGACGACGAATCCTGTAAACATATTCATACTAATTTAAATGTATATTTTATTTAATGTTTTTTGAGGATTTAAAAATTAAGCCAAAGATTAATTATTTGTAGTGTATGAAACCTTAACGTAATTTGATTTGTTTTCTTCCAGAACAACCACCAGCAGCTTCAGTTTCACCAAAGAATTCAGCAAATGGTGAACACTTTATTAATTACCTTTTCCTATTTCCAATTCTCTATGAAAGGCACATAAATTTAATTTTAAACATTTTACAAAGTATTTGTATTTTTAAACTAGGTTTTATATTCACATCAAAGTGTCGCATGGGGTGTTAAGATATTAATAATAACTTAAATAACCTCCTAAATATAGTTAAAAAATTTTAATGTGTAATTTGTAACTAATTGTGTCTTTAATAATAATGGACTAATCGCTAGTCAATGTCAAAAACATGTGACAGATAAAGTTTATAAATGGATATAGATAATAAACGACCTTATACAATGGGTATGATAAAGAAAAAATCATGGCATAAACGAGAATGATTTTATTATAAAATGGATTTTTGGGGTTACCGTATTCATAAAAATACAGTTTAATTGCATCGTTTTTATTAACACTTTCATACATGTGCTACATGGTATGAAACGGCGGTTTGAAACGAAATAAAAGCGAGTTGCGCTTTTCGGCTACACGGTTTAAAACCAACAGTGTCCAAAATAACGTTGCGCTGATAACACGTCTCCGCGCTCCCGTACCTGACGCACTTTCAGAATTAATTACAACGACATCATGGCGCCTTGCCTAAGTAAACAACAAAAAGTT